GATTTTTAGGACTGCACAGATTAACTCCGAAAGGACTAACAATGGAAGGTTCTTATTGATATAGCGTCTATCCTAAGGATGATACATTAAACATCCACATCATCTGCTCTAGTCGTTGCCTTTGATGCAATGCCGGTCACAACCCGTACAGTATCTCCTCGGCGATCTTCTCTGCAAAAGCATAAACTGTTGACTGAGGAGCCCCTGGAGGTAGGAACGGAAAACTGCTCGCATCAACAACCCGTAATCTCTGGACTCCGTACACCCGCGCAGAGCTATCCACGACCGCCATTGGGTCGTCTTTCCGTCCCATCTTGCATGTTGAAGATGCGTGTGAAATCGTTGTCAAGGATCTGCGGATAAAGTCAAGTATCTGCTCATATGTCGTCACATTGTTTCCCGGTGAAATCTCTACCGGATCAGCGACGCCTAGGTCGGCCAATTTTGCCCAAATCTGACGGCTCCGATTGAACGCGCCTACCATTAGCTCCACGTCCGTGGAGTTTGTCAACCATTGAGGGTTAATGATGGGAGGGGTTGTCATATTTGGACTTGCTAGCGATATGTTACCGCGGGAGAAAGGTGCAATGTCGACGAAGTTGATGGTAGCATATATTTGACTAGCAGTCGCATTAGCGGGTTTGGAAGAGCAATCGACAGTATATACGATTTCTGGCCAGTCTTCCGGTAACGTGGAGAGTGCTTGGATGAATTCATTGGAGAGGCGCCAACGGAAAGGTTTCGGTAGTTTCTCCCACCCGAAGTAACCTGGACCCGGGATGGACAGTGGGCCGGTGGCGTTCACGATGTATTGCTTGACATTGGACTTCACCAGAGTATCATCATCGACTAACGTGGCTACAGTTGGAACATCCACACGATGCGTCGTTCCGGCGGAGACATGATCCTGTAGATTTTGGCCGACGCCTGGAAGATGACTGACGCAGCTGATGTTGAACCGGAAAAGTTGGTCATGCGGACCAATTCCTGATACCATCAGTAAATGAGGAGACTGAATGGCTCCTGCCGACAATATAACCCCCTTCTGAGCACTGAGGGTAAAGTTAAGCGGTGGAACGCCAAAAGTCCCAGCCGTTTCAACCTGGACGCCAGTTGTGACTCGATGATTATCAAACAATATCTTCTGCGCAAGCGTCTTATGATATATCACAGGGCCTAGGCCACAACCGAGCGTCCATTGCAAAAAGCTTGTTTCCGATGAAGACCGATGTGCATTGATTGGATTAATAGTCAGGGTTGAATAGCCAGAACCCAACAGACTGCCGCTATTGAACTCAGTCTGTTTTAACCCCAGAGCAATGAGTGCTTTGCGGAACCAGGTTCCAAAGCCATCGACGAAGTTACCCGACGAGACCTCTAAAGGTCCACCAGACAAGCTGAAAGCTTCTGGGTTTTGTATGTTGGTCGAGTTGATGAAAAGCCTCTCGTCCGGGGGAGTGAAATGCACAGACTTTTTATAGTAGGGCAGCATATTGAGGAATTCATAGCTCTTGTCGTCCACTTCTTTCGCCCACGTATGTAAGCTGCCCATGGTGGGACGCTGGTAGTACATGCAGTTTCGTCCTGAGCTACCCCCTAGCGCTTTCCCGCGCGCATAATGGAGGGTCCGATTACCCAAGCTCTCCTGGGGTTGAGTCTGAAAGCCCCAATCAATTAATGGCTGGTAGTCACTGGGATCTGGCCCGTCGAAGAAGGTTGCGTATTCTGGGACCACAGAGAGGTCACCGTTGTCGATTTCGTAGAAACCGCCAGCCTCAACAACAGCCACACTGAGATATCCGCTCTTGACCAGCCGACTGGCAATAGTCAACCCGGCGGTGCCTCCGCCTATAACGACGTAGTCGAACGTTGCATTTTGCCCGGGTATACCGAACCAAGTTCCCAAGAGAGGCCCACGCTGATCATAGTCAAAGAGATTGAGATCAGGCCCATCGTGTGCAATGGCCAGAGCTGCTAGGGTCAGCAGGGTCCCAAGGGTTTGCATCATCATTGCGCTAGGAGGGAACTAGATTGCTGTTAGAATCAGTGGTGGGCCACAAAGAGCATCATTTGCTGGATGACATTGGAATGATCAAAGGATGAACCAGAGCTGGCAGCGTGGTAGCAGCAAAGGAAAGATACAGAGAATTGGAATGAATAGCAAATGCATGTCAAGATAGAACGTATGGAAGAGGAAGAGAGTGAAGAGGAAAATAATAAACACGAACTGGAGTCCAGGGATGGAAGGTACGAGCTTGCACACCAACAGCACCAAGTCTTCCGGAAACATCACCTACGATATGCAGCACATCGCTTCTACAAAAGCTGCTGTTATCGAGGTATATAAACTGCAATAAGTTTGGAAATAATTCGCTTGTGTATTAACATGATTCATAGAGAGCAGATCTTCACTCCACAATCTCTTTCAATCCCAACTCCGCCCGGCAGCTTTCAAGACTGTCTTTCTGCATCTGCTCATAAAGACTAATCTCATCAACCGTAGGAGTTCCCATCATCTGTTGGAACCCATCCAGATCGGCATCCGCTTCCATGATTAGCCGCTTAGACTGCGATGTATTTCCTAGGTTCGAGTTGAAGATCCCTCCTGCAGACAGGGGAAGGAAGTCCTCGTATGTGATGGGTTCGAACTCCAGAATTTGATCCTCCAAGAGCTGGCTCAGACTAACCTTTTCAGATCCGAGTTCCTTTTTACCCTTGGGTGTTGTTCGGTAGCAGAAGTATGCGAGATTCTGCTTTTGCAATTCATGGAGGTCATCTGGGAAGCCCTCGAAGTGTTTCCTCAGAATCTCCTCATATTTCTCAGAGTCAGCTTTTGTCTCTGCCGCCTCCTTGTTGACCTGACTGAGGATGTCATCATATAGCTTCCTGCCTTTTCGCGTGAGAGCATATCCGCGCTGCTCAACTTCGCCAAATCTTGCCGTATGGGATCCCTTGACATATGCTTCATTAGCATCGCGGAAGTATACCGTCTCTTCCAGGGCTTTGAAGCTAGTCTGACGTAGTAAGATGGGGCACTCGCGCCGCGGGGGTCCTTCGATTCGTTCTTTTGCCGGCATACCATTGTCCTGCATCATCTTCTGGACGAGGTCGATATCGATGGTTCGAGGAGTAAGGTGGTTTATGTGGCAGCTGGGGAAGGATACGATGTCGGCGATTAACGGATGCTCCTCTTTGAGGATCTTGTATTCTTCAAGCGTCACTGTTGCCTTGGAGTGCCATCTGAAGGTTTCCAGTCCTTCGGTGATGAACTCTTTGCACTCATCAGGGGTGAGATGGCCCTGTACCTCAGCGTGGTTGATCAAAGCCACCAAGCGGTCGGTGAAGATGTTTCTTTGCTTCAGAGCCCTCTGCGCCAGATCTCGTGTCCTCTCCGTCAGCAAGTCCATGCGCAGGACGGTCGTAAAGACTCGGAACGGATGTCTGGCCAGAGCTTCCCTGGTCCTGGGACGAAATGCGGTAGCATGCATCGGGAACCCAGCGACACTCAGGTCATAATATCCAACAGGATACATGCCCATAACAGCGAACATACGCCGGATCGTGGCTAGTTCCTGCGCGGTTCCGAGACGAATGGCACCATGTCTCTCGACACGGTTCCTGGAGGGCAATACCTCGTCGGGATCAATGATGTCTGCACCTCCTAATTTTCGGCTTCTGTTAATTGCCTCTGCATCTGCTTTCCATACAAGGTCCACCAGGTCCCCGTAAAGGGGGACTTCGCTCTTGTACATATCCGAGAGGGCATGGCAGAACCCGGCCCGCAGGGTATCTTGGCTCCAATCCATACTGGAGTATAACCGTATATTATATCGTCGGGAGGGTGTATATATGTGCTTTTGAAGGGGACGAGACGAAGAACGCGAGAATAACCGATACATAAACGATGATATATTCCGTGATATATAAGCAACAGCTAGAGAACCAACGCTAGTTAAAGCAGTTCAGCAATGTGCCAATGGGATTTCATGGGATATATAGCAGTATCCAAGGAAACTCAACAAGTCACACTTCAGCCTATATCCCTTACGTACAACACTATATATCCTACATTGAAAGGACACCATTCGCTATCCATCCCGATAAGCATGCAATCGCCATATCAGGGTATCAGCTCATTAGCAGGAGCCACCGGACTGCAGGTCAATCGTCATCGCCGAGAGCCGTGGTTATCCGTCCGTGCAGAGCTCGGACTTCCATCCGTCGGAATCGGATGCCATCCGTCTGCAATTTCATTTGAGGACTGACTATTGCTCTTGGATAATATGGACACTTGGCGTGCTGACCGGCTATGCACTAAAGAGGAGGTGCCTCGGAAGAGTAGGTTTGGCCGGATCCTGATGGCGCAAGCGCAACAAATGTCCGATAACCAGCCACTGATAAGATAATAGATAGTGTGGTATCTGGAAAAAGCTTCACACGCTTGGACGCTCTTTGGTCCATAGATAAGGTAATATAGTTCATACTACACTCGAAAGGTTTGAAGTTATTCGATCGTATACCTGCTTACTTTGATGCTCGTGATGATGGGCTAATCCGCATAAACCTTCGTGGTGAACATCAATCCGGGGAAGCTGCTCCCCGAACCAACCAATCGGATCCAGCATAAACCCCAAAGTAAACCCGTCGGATATGCGATTTATTGTTTTCCCACAGTTCATCTTCCAGGAAGAGTAACTCTGAAACTCGGTGTAGCTTTTCGCTTAATCGGCACGGAGGTAATACTTCGGAAGGGATGAGGACCTCTTGATCGTGAACCATTTGTAATATGCAGATCAGGTACGGGGTTACGATACACGAAGTAAACAAAACATAGTTTGTGGTACCAGCATTGGCTCGAGAATGGTGATTGAAGCTTAATCAACTCACAACATAGAATGAATATAGTAATAGCAATAACATTAAGTCATGATACTATTTATGCCATCTCTATTCCGCTACAACCACAGCGTAACGAAAGAAAAGACACCAGATCGTCGAATGCACACTTAAAAACATTCATTGCGCTATCATAATTTATATAATGCTAAAGACAACATATCCTTCATAGTTCCAGAACAAGTAGTCCGTACAATCTAATCCAAATCCTCAGTCTTGCGAGGCGGGGGAGGGCTCTTCTTCACAAGGATAAAGTCACGCTCCAAGAGCCAGAATCCCTTCGACTCGCGTCCGTCAATCGTCTTGACAATGGGCTCCACATTGTGCTGCTTAGCCAGCTCCAGATCCTCGCACCAGTTGTAATCCACAATCAAGCTCTTTTTGACGCCGAACACGGTGTCGCTCTCCACGAAGTTGCTGTCGCGGGAGTACAGGGCCGTGATGAGCTTGGTGTATTCAGGGTGGGCGACCATGAAGTGCTAGTAATTCAGTCGTTAGCTTATACATGTTATGTCATTAAAGGGTTCGTTAGAAGACGACTCACCATATGAGCAGGACGGAACCAATGACGCTTGAGCTTGCGCAGGAGCTCTCCGACGGGTCCGTCATTGGAGATGGGGTATGCGACGGGCTTGACGCAGGAGAAGAGATAGTGGCCCCTCTCGTCGGAGAAGATCTTTCCGCGGCAGTTGGGGTCCTCTGATCCGTCGTACTCCAAGTCGTACACGCCGTTGCCGTCGGTTTCCCAGACGTCGATCAATGCCTTGGGCACGGCATTGCCTTCTGTGTCTTTGATCCAACCCCGCACAATTGTGGGCTCTCCGGGGGTTCCCTCTGCAGTGATGGATTCTCCATATTCGAATGAATGAGCCTCTTCGTCATGGAAGGGACCGAGCACTGAAGATTCGGTTGCTCCAGGCACCGCGGGGTAGGAAAGGGCGTCGACGAGAGCGGAGATACCCAGGATGTCTGAGAGGAGGACGAATTCGTGACGGACGTCGGTTGAGATTTGTCCGACCTAATGATTGTCCATGTTAGATGTTGTCTTTAGGGTGATGAAGGCGTGATACGTACTCTGGTTAGGAACTGCCACGCTTGCTCCCATTCATCGAATTGAAGGCCAACATCCCGGATGTAGTCATGGGCGGCCTGGATCAACTTCAAGATAAGGTACCGCATGCGAGGGTTGTCGCACATGGAATTGATCTTCATGACATTCTCTGTGATGTTCTCAATGGTCAAATCGAGCATGGGAGGCAGGTTGGCCGCGATTTCCTCTGGCGTCGACGCGGCTGCCCATTTGGCGCGGGTGCGCTCGCTAAGACCAGTGACTTTGGGGGTAGTTCCGTTCGGTTGTTGCTCAGACATTGTGGTTTCTGATGATGAGAGATACCAGATAGGTTGGGGAGACTGTTGCTTGAGCGTTTCAGTCAGACGTGGTGGCCCGTCTCTTATACTTCGCCCGCCCCCAAAGATTCTCGGTTATGGCCAATTCAGACACCGAGTTGCTCCCACAAATGCTCCCCCGCACTTCATAACGCGGGGCAAATGTGATTATTGTGTATTAGAGGTCATTATGGCCGTCCGGGCCGATAATCGCAGCTGGGAATTGGTGTAGAGAGATCCGTCGGAGCGGATATATGGGTGTGGCGGTTCTTCCGTCGGACGAACCAACAATGGCGGAAGTCGTGCGAACCATGTCCTCAGGTTGCCGATTACTTGGTATGCCTGGGGTCCTGGAAATCTTATTCCGCACACTCCCTGGCTCTGTGCAATGTTCGGATAACTGGATATGCAAGGTAATGGAGTATTGATTTTCAATCGCGAATCAATGCCGTTATTCCGTTGAACTCCTAGCAACCACTTGGCTTCTATGGGGAGAACTATGTTTTCCGTGAGCCGAGCCAGTGGAGATTTCCGAGGCTCATAGATTTTCAGAGTAGAGCTACTTTTTATGTGAGTTTGGGCCTACGGCGCATTGGTGGTGCAGATCGACGCTGCGAACACTTTCAGTGTGCGCAGTCGCCTTGCAACAGAAAAGTCCGAAGACGTCTGATGGTGTCCTGTCTCTAGGAATAACCTAGTTTAGACATGTAAGCTTGATTTAACTGGAACTGCAGACCCGCGAGCAGGGCTATAGACCCAGGCAGATTGTTTAAACGCAGCTGCATATGCTATCATAGCCCTACCACGGACCTTCGTAGTTGGCCACTAATGGTGGGCGAGTTGAAATCATAATTCCGGGCTAGCAGCAGGAGCACTAAGCATTGGCCAGAATGCGTAGTCCTGTCTCATAAGCAGTAAATCCGTAGGCGCAGATCATCCAAGGCTGCAATTCCGGGTGTCGAGCATTGTCTTGAATGACCCCAGACCCCGCGAAAACCCCGGATGGCTCTGATGCAGTCGTTCCTGGGTGAAGGTGGTTAATTTGGGATGGCATCATCGGTTGGTGGCGATCGCAGCCGGGCTTTGGTTTAAAGCCAATCCTAGCGTGCCAATCCAAGTTAGTGTGGAGCAAGCTAATCAGCTGGGGGATTGACCAACAACAACAGCAAGCGGCATGAACACCACAATAATCATACGATCGCGTTTAAATGAAGCATTGACTTGAGAAAGGCATGGACGGCGGCAGCGACTCTCAGCCGGTGACGGCGAAACTCCGCGCTTCTCGTCGACGCCCGCCACGTGCTTCACGTGCCTGCGAGACTTGTCGAGTGCGCAAGACCAAGGTGCGTCCGCCATTTGCTTCATCGCGTTTACGTTTCACTGCAAACTGCCTGGCCAGTTATCAAGATTGTTCATTGACTCACTGACGCTTTTCATGGTAGTGCGACCAAGCTCAGCCGTGTTCCTATTGTGCTTGTATGCTAACCCGGCCTTGCCGGCTCTCAGCCTCAAGGCAAAACTGCTTCAACTGAATCGCATACTGACAGTTCATTCTTAGACCATTCGCTTGATTGCTTCTATCGCGCTGCAGGTCCGAATGAGGCCTCAACAGCCGCAAAGAGACAGGCGCAAATCCGAGAGGCTCAAAAGTACGTCGTTATGCTGTGTTGCCTAGATTCTCCTCTTACTCTTCCATGTTATCACTCATCCGTCCATCAAAATCTAACATACAAGCAGATCAAAGACCCGGCCATCACCATGGCCAGATGTGAGTCAGAACAATCAAAATAACCTCCACCAGAGTGACTCTCCGGATCACTATACCCCGCGGGTTGCGCGAAGTATTGGCAATATCAATGCTAGCTCACCTACTGTTTTCACTCCCAAACGTGATGATGACAGCATTGTTGGTAAGAGTATTCAGTCCTGCCAATGTATCCTCTATCTGAGATTTCTACAGCTGCCACACCTGAGCTGTGCGACTCAGCATCCCGAGACGGTTTGAGAGGTGTCAACCTTCACACCAATGGCACGGAATTCTATGGCAATTCCTCGAACCTTGCGTTTCTGGGAAATCTCTATGCTCGGGCTCGTAATCAAGCAGAGAACAAACCGTTGACAATTCCTGATAACGAGCCGTCGTACCCATCTAACGGTGGAACTAATGCGGTGGTCAATCCGTTATCCGACAAAACAGCCGCGGACCAGTTGACACCCAACTCTCCAGCCGACAAGCAGTCTGAAAGTTCACAGACGAATAAGGCGCAACTTTCGATAGTGAACCTTCTGTATAATCCGAAATATCCTAGTCACTCCCCACCGCAGATTAGCGGCGGAGCCGAAGATGATAGACAAGGGAGGAAAGAAAATGCCGAGGGGACCAGAGCTAATGCTCAAAGCTTCGTGGGCAAGTTGAAAGCTCCCGTGTCCATTCAATGACCGCAAACTGACTATCAAAAAGCAGATCACCGCTATGAAATGACACCTGTGATTGACAGGCTTTCAGACGAGGCACAACTAGAAATCGAGAAGATGTTCATCAGCAGCTATTTTTGTAACAAGCATTATATTCACCCTATGCTGTGCAAGACTAACTTTATGCGGCGTTGCGAGAACGAAGCTTTCGTCTTGCCGAGGAGGCCGGGATTCTTACGCGGCATATCGAAGTTTTCAGGACTCTATTTCTCCGTGGTTGCTCTGGGTGCCATAAATGCTAGTCCGCATGAGACAGCTTTGCTTGATCACTACTGCAATTACCTTCCTTATCTGGGCAAACCTGGTGCCATGGGCAAGCCCTCTTCGTTGGATTTTGCAGACTATTACTTTGGAAAAGCGAAACAAGCGCTAGGTGACTTGTTTGAGAGCTGTAGCTTAGAGAGTGCGCAGGCTCTTCTGCTGCTGGTGGGTCATAATGCTGATCCCATTTGGCACATCTGTTGCTGATTGAGACGACTAGAGTGTTTTCTGCCAAAATGCGTTGCGGCCGCATAGCTGCTTCATGTACAGCGGCATGGCAGTGAGGACTGCAGTTGCTATTGGTCTGGCATCGGGCATGTCGTCTGTGTCCCTTGATACGCGGAAGGAGGGCAGAAGGACTTGGTGGTGAGTGCATTGTTCTTTCATTTTTATCCAGGCAGCTGACATGAATAGGTGTATATATTCTCACGAAATGTGTGTATCCTTTACTACTACTGTATTTTATGCAGCTTCTCTGACTTGATACAGTGAGATGTGCTGTTCCTCGGGGCGGCTAGACAGCATGAAGGATCTCCAATATTATCAGGTTCCGCTGCCAACGCTCAAGGTGAGTGTATGTTCCATTCTGCGACGATCAAGTACATATGTTGAATCCTTTTCTAGGCCACGTCCGGCAACCTACTTGACCCTGATGCAGAAGATGACCATGTCGCCATGATACCCGCGATGGTAGCCCTGGCGCAGATAATGTCCGAAGCATCCCATCTTCTCTACCACTCGCCCAAGCGATCCATGAGCGAAATGTCGCAAATTGCAATGAATCTCGACCACAAGTTGCTCGCATGGAAGGCTACACTGCCGCATTTCTTGAACATTGATGCGGCTTCACTCAACGACACCGAATGGGCCTTTAAACAGAAGCTAGTATTGAGGTTAAGTAAGCGCTATAAACCCTTTTCTTAACCAAGGGATTATTCACTAATCTTGTATAGGATTCTACAACACCCGCATCCTAATACACCGTCCATTCCTCGCCGCATCAGCATCCAGCACCGAGTCTTCCAACCTGTTCCAACACCTCCACACCTGCCTCGACGCCGCAAGAACTAGCATCCAGATGCAGTACGAATCCTTCCTACATAGAATTTACATTCGAACATGGTAAAACATCCCCCATTATCCCCTCCCAACAACTACAACTAACAAACACCTACAGGTGGTACAACACAACCTACGCCCTCTACGGCGCCATGATCCTCCTACACCTGGTCCTCTCCGGCTTCCCCAGCATCCGCGACGAAGACCTCCTCCTCGACGTCGAAAAAAGCCTCGACATCTTCGAATCCATGAACAACATCGTAGTCGCGCGCCGCTGTGCCGAAATGATCCGCGAGGTTCTCGAAGTCGCGCGAGCCTGTGTCGCACGGCGTCGGTCCCTCATTCCATCAGCAGCAGCGCATACATCAACGCTAGCTCCCCCGCCCACACATTTCGGGATAGATGCTGCTACTGCTACTGCTACTGACCCAACAGCGGTGCAAAACCGTGGGGACAATCTCACCGGGATGGTCCCGCCCGGCACGGACAGCGATTTCTTCTTCTCGCTATTCAATCAGGATTCGCAGCCGGATACTCGCGCGGAGATATTAGCTAATTTGGTTGACCCTACAATATTGGAGGACTTTGCGTTTGGCAGTGGGGGAGGCGATTTTTCGTTTTTCTTAGGGTCTTGATGATGGATAATGAATAGGATTATGTTTTATTACTTGTTAGTGATGATATTGATATTAGCTATGTTAAATATTTGCACGCTGGCTATCCAGCTAGCTATGTTAATAATCTATTTCAACCATTCTAGAATTTGAAAACAGCGGTATACATACGAATCGATCTCTCTCTCTCCACTCAACCTAGACCAATACAAGTCATCCCCACTGAAGAACACAGATAGTATTCTACATCCCCGTATCGAGGCCTCCCCAAACTACTTACCCAACCAACCACCCCCTATCTAGCCCAACTAGCCAACGCCACACACCCCATCCTTAATAAAATATATCCTCCCCTAACGAGTCAGTCACAAAAACCCCCAAACTAACTAGTAACCTAGATTAAGGACCTCCTACCTCGATAATATAACTCCGCAGGACCGAATGCGGAGCTTCATCCACCAGGCGGGAGTCTGCGACGCGAGGTGTTTCATAGTATCTGCTATGTTAGCTATTAGAAACCCTGTTTTGTTTTGTTCGGATCCTGTAGCTAGCAGACTTGGTTAGTAGTGGAGGATTGATTGATAGAGGGTCTTATTTAGGATTATGGATGTGAGTGGTGTGTTATTAAATGATTTGGTTGTTTGAATATTTATTCTTTTTATGTGTAGAAAGGGTGGTAAATTGGAGTAGTGGCCTGTTTGTAGTTTATTAGTAGTGCCTGTTTGGGCTGGTAGGTGTCAGGCTAACCAGACTGATCCATAGGGAGTTCGGTTCAGGTAGCAGTTGCTGTGCTGGTATCTTATAGGGTTTATGCTATTTAGTATGTTAGATGATCAGTCAGTTTAAGAGGAGGGGTTAGAGGCAAGTTGGGAATCGCAGGATGGTAGAGGATATTAGCGACTACTTCTCTAGCTTACAAGTGTCAGATGTCATGTGTTCACTCTTTTACAGGCAACATAATTCATTACAGTTACACATGAAGAATAGTTAGATCAAATGTAATTTTATGACCATGACCGTGACAGTCAAAAAGTAAATCCACGCTATCTATCCATCCCATGGCCAAACCAGTCTATATCTATCCATCCAGTCCCGGATCCATCATGAGTATAAAGAGAAATAAAAGAACAAGAGCAAACCCATATGTACATACAATGCATGCTGGAAGTGCAGTCATTCATCCAGTCATCCAGCCGGGTGGGGAATTAGTTCGTAAGAAAGTCAAAACAGTGATCGATCATCATCAAGCGCAACGCACAACTCCGAGCGAGTGCAGCCAACATATAACATATCAAGGTATCAAGAAATGGAAACCTCGGGGGAAAGCATCGAGGTAGGAGAAATAATCACAGAATGCGCCAGATCGGTAATGAGAGATGCGAAGGCGGTAGTTGTGGTCATCAAGGGCATCAAATGGTTGTTTGTGTCGAACGTAAGGACGCGTGTCGTGTCAACCGTATATTGGTTGGGGTGTTTTGAGGAAGCGGGTATAGAGACTATAGCGGGGGAATGGAAGCGTCTTGTACACTGTCGTCGCTGATCGAGGTTGCAGGAGATGCTAAACCCGAGATAACGGAGGAGGTGCCCCCGCGTCCGCTCTCGCCTGTTTGTTCCAGCTCGACCATCGAGTCCTCCAGCTGGGCGTTCGCGCCCGAGCGGGACGCATTAATGGTGGGTTTGGCGGCACTGGTCATGAGCTCGTCAATACCGGGTTTCTCCGGGACGTAGTGATCGAGGTTGGTCGCGCTGTCGAGACTCTCCAGTGCGAATTCGAGGAACTCGGCGTCCTTCTTGCTCACACTCAGCGTCCACCGGTATTCGCACAGTCGAAGACGGTAGAACTCCGACTCTTCCTTGGTGGGAGCAGTGACGCGAAGCAGGACGCCAAAGGATCCGATGAGGGCAAAGTTCGTCCGTGCGGCGGCCGGCCAGAATGATCTCAGATGCATCGGACGAAGACGGTTGACAAAGTCCATGGCGGAAATCAGACGAGTCTTGGCGGCAGACCGACAGATATGGGAGAGGTAGGCGTCGGCGGTGTCCTGGGAGAGGGACCGCACAATACAGCGGTGGAGAGTGATCTCTGTGGCAAAATAGGACAGGTGCAAAGCACCATTGCGTGAATTGTCTTCGTTGACCGTCTCGAAGATATCCCCGCCCGAGTCCATCTTCAGCTGAGTGGGTAGGCGACCAAACCACTCCTTCAGTCGGATCTGAGCCGGCTTGGCGCGCTCCAAAATCATGCGGGTACGGTTGTTTCCGGCCGTCCTAAATTCTTCGATCGCCTGGAGAGTATAGAATCGATCCAGAATATCGGACAATATCGTCGTCAGAGCCACCATGTGGCAGAAGGACAATGGCCCATGGCCGACGGGCGCATCATCGTGGGCGGATGTGCCCGAGAAGGCATCAGTGAAATCCTGTTCCACCAGGTCCTGGACCATCCAATTGGACGACACGATATGGGACGGACGACCATGCACCAAAGCGGACCATTTGTCCTGCATATATAGTGCCCATGCCAAGCGTTTCCGGAGACCCTTCTCCCACGTTTCCATCCGCCAACTAGAGCAGTCTTGATGCAGGCCCAGCTCGAACCCGGCGGTCACCAATTGTGCGTTCAAGGCCGCCGTGGCGAGGTTGGACCGCTGCATGAGCAGCAGGCCGGCTTGCACCGTCGACATCGACGCATAGGGCAGCGACTCGGTCAGCAGCTTGAGGGCAGTGCTCTCCAGGCGGCCGGCATCCGGGCGTCGGACGGACTGCGAGGCCGGGCCAACGTCAACGAACTTCAACGCCAACACATAGACGGCGGACAATAGCAACGGCGTCAGCCCGGTCCGTGCCCGGTAGGACTGGCGGAAGCTATCCTCCATGAGGATGGGAAAGCTTGGATGGACATGCTCGAAGAACTTCTCCACCAAGGTGGAGCCATAAGGGGCGACCAGGCTTTCAATGGCATCGAGCGTAGCGGTTTGCGGGGAGTCCGCGTGAGAACGGTTGTTGACCACCCGCATGAAGGTGCCGTCGTCACCGAACTTGCGCACGCGAGACGAGGCCACGCACCCTTCGTTGTTCTGATCCAGGGGCAAGAATTCGAGAAGGGCGGGCTCGAGTTCGGTGGTGAGGCCGATATGTTGAGTGGATTGGAACCAAAAGGCCGGCGTGAGGATGTGGTGGTTGTTCAATGCAGGGCGGGAGGAGCTGTCTGGTTTGTTGGAGGCTGGGGGAAGAGTAGTAGATTGCCTGGCAGCGGGTACCCAAGTTAGCGTTCCGATTTGAGATTCAGGGCAGGGGACGTCCGAGATCGGCCTTTAGGACGCCCCGGTGAAATCATACCTCTTGGGAGATTCCACTTCTTCGGCATCGGCGTCGTCCAATTTACGTTTTTTCGACGGGACATCCGCCGTGCCGGGGCGACTCGTCACGGACAAGGTGAAGGTGCAGTCCTGGCGGTGGAAGTCGCACGAATAACATTTATTGATCATTTCGTTAATAGCACAGCGGCTCTTTCTGCGCACACAGGCGTCGCAACTGGGCGCATCCCGGCCTGACGCAGTCACACGGGAAAGGGTGCCAATGGATGAGGCCGGCGACTGTGGCGTGGATATCGAACCGGGTTGAGGTGCGTGTGATGGCTGGGGTTGGGATTGCTGCTGGACCCGGGGTCGAAGGAGTTGGTGGTGGTGGTCAGAGGCAGGCGACTGTTGAAAGGCAGCTGCAGAGGGGGCTGTTGGCCCCGTCGTCGAGGACGACTGGAGAGTGATAACGGCAGCCATTCAGAGGGGGTTTGAATGGACAGGTCGAAAGATAACCCGGATGGGAGCGATAAGCAACGACAACTCAAGAGTGGCCACTGCAGGAGCAAACCGGGGAGACAAGCCGGAGATGCGTAGATAGGCGGCGAGACTCGCAGGCCCAAAATCTCACGAATTGTCACAGAAACAATTAACAATCAAGAAATTGGGCGGCGATAGCGACAAAACAATCAATGGAGATAGATTCTTGTCACGTAAATGAACCGGGGCCGTCGGAGACTCCGCCGTGCGAGCTCCGCAATGGAAGCACGGAGGGCAGGAGGGCAGGAGGAGGAAGAGGGAGAGTCAGAGAGACCAGACCCCTCACCAAATTAGGATTGGAAATATCTGGGGTTTGACTGCAGCCCAGTCTTGTTGACGGGGTGGTGAGAGAAAGTCGCGCGGTGATCCCGTCTATCGAACGCACCGACCAATGAGCAAAGCAAGTACGGAGAGAGAAGACGGGTTGCCTGCCAGCCACGTACGAACCGCAGGGGAGAAGCTTATCAGCCGGAGTGGGCGTAAGCAGACCGATGGATGCTGATTGATTGAAACTGATTGAATGAATTGATAGATAGAGTAAAGTAAAGTAGTAGTAGATAGGAAGTAGTAAGTAAGGGAGGGAATGAAACGGGAATTGATCGAATGGGGGGACGAGAATGTCGGGGAGTACAAGCTTGCGGTGGAAAGCAGCAGCGGAACCGGAGCCGCCCAGATTCGGGGAGTTGGAGATATACTCCAGAAATGAAAGGAACTGATAAAAAACTGTAGGTAATAGAATGGAATGATAAAATTATGGTCACGGTAATAGGATGATGACGGAGAGCAAGGAAGGATCTGATTGCTTGTGAGCACTGATCATATCAGGGCCATGGATCTGCACTGGAGAATAGTAGTAGTACTCCGTCGTAGTAGTTGGTAGTAGTGTAGGTAGTAGTGGTAATATTCTTTTTCTTCAGTTCCTATTAGATACTGAAGAAGTAGTAATAATAATAGTAGTAGTAGTGATAGATAGATAGAGATAGAGATGTTGTATAGGAAGGGAAGGTAGTCCGGAATATATATAGTATAGAACAATGACACAAAAGTTGGTTCAGTTGTCTCCCCTTCCCATTCCCTCTCTGTCTCCGTCTCATCCAGTGTCCATTCAGTTGATTATAACTAGTAATGGAATTGGCATGAGGTAAACCAAAAAGCAGTCCACCCAAAGAGAAAGAGCGTCTCCTCCAGACAGGAAATTGGGAACAGTCATCAGGATCAATAAGAGAATCTCCGGATGAAGCGATCGATCAACACTGGCGGGTGTTTTCCACACGTAACAGAAAGGTGGCCAGGCATGCTGGATGGCCACCCGGCGACTTTTCGCCTCAAGTTCCTGCGCCCTTGCACCTCCTCGTCCAGATAAGCCTCGTCGGCCTGATTGGATCCCCGATCGGTTGGCTGCCGAGGTGGCCTTGGTATTACGTACTGAGAATTGCACTTCTCGTCCGGGAAAGTTTGGGGTTGAGAGAATTGCCGGAGAGATTAGTAGTAAGTATTCCCCATTGACACCCTCCAGGGGAGTTGAAGGACTAGTTATATAGTGACTTGCTGCTTATGCCATATGGTCTCATTGTTGGCACATATTATGCATACGTACATACCGTTTCCTTTTTTAAACTATTAGTAGTCAATACTAGTTGAATCAATGATCTGTGCCCGTCGTTCCCGACCTATCATGCCGGGGAAATGCTCAAACCCTCTCACCAAGCAGGGATTACTCAGAGACAGCTCCCAATCACATCATCCCGATAACGCTCTCCATGAACCAATCACAGTTCCTGCAATAGACTTGAAATCGGCATAGCGCGATACCGGCAACGGGGATCGGCCCTGCAGCTGGACGGCTCTTTCCCCACAGCTTTCCAGCAAGCATGAAAGTGTTCCCCCCTCCCCATCCATCCATGTGGTCTTTTACTAGTATAGGAATGAAATACTAATAATGCAGGTCGGCGGGAAAATCCCCGGGTTACTGATTGGTGGGAGTAGTTTTCCTTGGGCATCTCTGCTGACCGTCTTGTTCATTATCTAATGGTTATGACTGAGCTGCAGTAGTCGTACGGAGTACACTGCCAGTAACTCCTGTTAGTTGGTTAGTTATACTCCATAGTATCCGTTGACTAAGGTTTCCCGGCCGCGCGACGGTTTCGTGACTCAGGTACGGAGTACACAGCGCCGGTGGATGGATTCTTTTCTCGTGTTCCATTACATTGGTTGTGACATCAGAAGTACCTGATACGGTTTCCTGAGTAGGCAGAAGAGTCTAATGACTACAAGATGCTGGTGCTGCTGTCGTGCACTGTACACACTACTACAGCAGTAGCTGATCCAGACAGAAAGAAAAGCACCAAACCCGAGATTAAATGTTATCTCCGGGGAGAATAAGCCCGACCGAGCGACCGACCGAGCGTCAGTCTGTAATTAGTCTAGCCTCGTCTATAATAAATCATCTTTTTGTTAAATGTTAATCCCCATCCATATTAGGCTCGCGTGCAGCTCAAAACCAACACTTCACACTAGTTGGATGGATTCTCATTACTTAATGTAAAGGTCATCCTGCTGCGCCTTTCCCGGGGAGAAAAGGGATTCCCATTATTCAATCCGAACGGGAAGCGATCACATCATCTCATCCATCATCCATCAACCTACTAACCTGTTACTTGTATTAGCAGGTCAACGTGCACTATGGAGTACTAGAGCGTTTTATCTAGTCCAATCCTTTGGACCTCTCATGAGGTTTCAATTATCCAACCGATACTGCTTTAGACTTTTTCAGCAGTCGGGTCGAGTCTCTCAACAGGCCCATGGATTGATTGATTGATCCTTCCTTTCCTTTCAGTTCAAGCTGTTCCGTGTCATCCCAACTACTAATAGAATAAAACGGATGAGCCGGTCAACCACTGAAAATACTAAACAGGCCAAGCTTCCGCTTTTCGCATGGTCATCGGCCTGAGTGTTGCTGGTGAAGTTATCCACTTGTCTAAACTCTATCTATTTGCTAGACTCGCGTGGTGATGGATGACTTTTCACATGTTCCTTCCTTCTATCTAACAAAGTCCACAGTAGAGATGCTGCTGACTAGCTACTGTGTATATTGTCCCAAACAAAGGGAATGAGAAAAAAAAAGAACAACCACCCATGACGACATGATCGTCCTGCAACTGCCAATGCAATCTTTCCTTTTTTTTTTAACGATACCCTCTTCTTTTCTTTTTCCCTCTTCCGTTCTTATTGCACGGACAGTTTAAATTAACTATGCGTCATGACTCCAAAACTCCATGCTATCCCGAAATCAGATACCCAAGCTCACAGACAGGCCACTCTCGCCATGCCATATGGTACAAAGTACACGAACACAAAAATAAATAAAAGAAGGAATGAAGCTACTCAGTGAAATTGCGCAACTTGGTCAACTCATCCAGCAGCTCCTGCAAATCCCCATCCGAGATCTTATGCTGCAGACTCGGAATGAGCGATTTGGCTTCCTCGGCGTTATCGCAGCACAGACTTCCTGTTACTTGTTAGCTGCTGCTGACCACTTCATCCATGAGTCCCCTTGTGACACATCCACAATACTCTTCCCCAGCAAAGAAAATCCCCATAGGAATAAATAAATATACATACCAAGCTGCGACCGCTCAAACATCTCCAACTCGGTATGCGAATTCAACAACCGCTCCACAGCCTTGATATTCTCTTCGTCCTTGAACCGCGCAAACACCTCCAAGTAATCAAGCGTCTTCGTAAGATTCCTAAACACCAACAATTACAATATATTAGCTTCTACTCTTCCACTCCTGTAACCAACCCAACACTACCACCCCCTCCACCATAGCCCAATCCAGGAATGATAAAAAGATAGATAGATAGGTGTACTCACTCTGGCTCTTCATACTTCTTCCCACCCCTTCGCTTATTCTCCAACACCTTATTGATAACCAGCCTTGCTTCCGACAGCGACAACGTATGCGTGTTCTGGTCCGCTCCGAGCTTCAGCGTCGACGCGGCTTCGAGTTCGCCTTGCGGGAGGGTGCGCTTGCGGTGTGTGGCGGGGGGGAGTTGGACGCTCATTTTCACCAAAACAAATATATATTTTGTAGCTCGGGGTATGCGGTGGTAAATTCAATTAATCGGTGGTTCGAGAGCTGAGCTGAGGTATCACGTCGCTGGTAGTTGGTGTTGTTGGTAGTTGCGGGATCGGGGAGGCGTTGAGTTTTGTTCCGGCAGATACTAGCTTTATGGAGGGGCGGTGAGATACCCTTACCGCTTTGGTGGATATATATGGGAGGGAAGTTCTGTTTGATATGATTGATTTAAGGGTAATAGAGACTGTCGATGGAAACAATAATTGTCTATATGATTTAGGAAATGGAGAATTAATTACAGTAATGTAAGGAGAAGGGTATCAAGTAACATTTTATCGGCACTTTTTCTATATCCATAGCCAAAACGCCTGTATGCTATGCGATGAGTAGATCGTTTCGTATATGATAATTCACGGACAGCCTCAAATTGCAAGCTTAGATCTGACGGAATGCGACCTCCTTCGGCAGACGGAAGCTGGCGCAGAACATCTGCTTGTTAGGGCTGACCAATCTGACATTGTGGATAGCCAGATCGATCTCCTGGTTGCCGCTGCCGCCGACACGATCCTCCGTGGTGATGGTGTGACCGATGCGCTCCGAAATACGCTGGCAGATATCGACGTGGTCGTCGTGTTCGTCCGCAGAGTGGCCCGAGAAGCAGTATACATGGACCTTGGGCAGAGGTTGCGAGGTGTGAGGGGCGAAGAGCGACTCCTTGCCTGCGTAGACGCCGACAAAGGCGTCGAGGAATTCGATGGCGTTACCGGGGAGGTTCATCACATAGTGGTGGAAGACGTTGGGGCGATGGAAGACCTCCGGGGCCGGGAGCGCTTCTCCCTTTTCCTCTGCGGCGGCCTTCTTGCTCCTGCGCACCTTGGGCTCAATGGTCACGGTGTGAGGAGAATCCAGGAGGGCTTTGGCAGACCAGCGGATGAACTCGCGGCCGTCCTTGTTGAAGGGCGTGACGAACTTGTCGGCCTTGTTGCGCTTGATGGCGTCCAGCATCACCTCGTATCCGTGAGGGTTGAGATCATTGGCCCACACGAAGATCTTCTTGCGGCCTGCAGGCACTGCGAAAGGCCCGACGCCCGCCATGACGTCGCAGACCATCTCTCCTGGGCGGAACTTGTCCACTAGACGACGGTGCTCTGTCTCGAGACGGCTGTTCCAGTACACGCGCGAGTAGTCGAAGCGGAACTCGCAGTGTTGCTCGTGCTGGACGACGTTCAAATTGTTCTCACCGGCGAGCAGCTCGAAGGGAAACGTGCGGAATTCGCTGTGCGAGCCCACGTCCTCGGTCTTGCGGATGACGGTGCTGATGTTGGGGTTCTTGTCCAGCAGGACCTGGGCAAGCAGGTGCTTGTAAGGCAGGTATTGCTCGCGGAGGTTAAGGTGCGCTATTTCATCAGCTTGAGTATGAGATGGGAAAAGATTGAGAGGACTTACAAACATGACCGACTTGCGTGAATCCCTGGGGGATCTCATCCAGCATGTCCTCGGGGAGAATGCAGGACATGATATCCGCTGCTCCAATTAGCCTTGAGTTCCCAAACAACGAAGCAGTATCCTCGCGCACCATAAGTCCAGTAATCATAATCCAACGTCAAATCATAAGGCTTAACGCCAACCATTCCCTTCTGCACAAGCTCACTAACCGTTGGCGACCACGTCGCCGTATCTAGCCCCTGTCAGCTCATGGTCCATACACTAGCATTGCTAAATCGAAGGCAGTGGTTTATACCATCATGCTTAATATCCTCCCTCAACAACAGACATTTATGCACCAAATCATTGATCTTAATTTCCCTTATGGAGCCCAATCTCGGCAGCACAAGCATGTCCCGACTCTTGGTCAATTCCTTCCGCACATTTGCGATATCCGAGGTCTTGAAGATCGCTGCCGCAGAGATCGGTACGGTCTTCTTGAAGAAAGACCGGTCCAGGACTCTCATGGCCCGGTTCACAGGAGGACGGAACATGGCGGGGAGGTCGCTGCGGAGCGGTTGGGTGGGTTCGGAGTCGATTTCCATGGACATGGGGCAGTAGTTTTAGTTGGATATTCGGGTTCGGAGGATTGACGGGCTGTCCTAGTGGGCGTACTAAAAGTGCGAGGCTGGCATGGACTGGTTGGGGGTCTGGTTGTTCGTTTGGTGGGAGGATCGCGACATTTTTTAGACTTTGGAATTGGGCTGTGACTCCGTGGCTTATCGGCACGTGATTGGAGATAAGATTGATATGGGCTATCACATGTATTTCACTGGTGTATTTAGTGGACTAAAGAAAGGTAGAAGTATAAGACAGTAAAACTATTTAAATTGGTCAATGATATCTAGATAAAGCTAGCAAAATAATCTACCTAGGAAATCCGCCAGCAGACCCCGAAATGTCAGTAAAGCAAGAATGGAGATCATCATCAGTTCATCACGCAAAGATGCAACAGAAAAAATACAAACCATATATTGAGAGGGTATCAGACCACAACCATCCCACAATCTACCTCCTTTCCAGCATAGAGATTCGCTCATTCAGCGCTTTAATCTGGTCGTCCTTCTTCTTCAACGCAATCCTCGAAATGTCCCGTCCCCGGGCAATACCTTTCACCTTCAACTCATACTTCTGCAAGAGATCCATCAACTCACCCTTCGCTTTCTCCGGCATCACCACCCTATTCTTATCCAGAATCTCAACAGCCTGCGCTGCCAGATCAGACGAAGGCTTCTCTCCACCCGTAGCAGGACTAGCCCCAACAAACCTCACCGGCGTAGGCGTCTTCGAAAACTCCAACGACGACGACGGCACAGTAGAAGAAAAAGACACCGCCCGATCCGTAAATGATCGAGCCAACGAAGTTGGCGTAAAAGCCTCTGTCTTCGAACCATCCTGCGCACCCACATCCGATATATCATCGAGCTTTCTCTTCTCCGGCGCAGAAGCTCCAACTGCGTCCCGGGATGGCGTCTTGGGAGGACCGAAATCCGGCTGTCGCATTGGCGCAGTAGCAGTCGCAGAAGCAGCCTGTTGCTGCCTCTGTTCTTGAGAACCAAGCAGATTCCCCACCGCCGTATCATCCGAGATATCCCATTCGAACTCAAGGTCTTCAGCCATCATGCGGGCCTTGGCGCTTCGCGGAGGCATGGTCGCACTCAACTGTCCTCCCTTCCCCCGTGCCCCACTATTGTCCAAGCCTGTATCTCCAAATCTTACCGTACGATCAGTCTGAGGGGTTAGAAGGCCCGTCTCGAATAGGCGTGGTTTCTTGGTGGGTGTCTCGGGGGTGGGGGTGGCAATGGTGGCAGAACTGGTAGCAGAAGAGAAGGAATCCGCCGCTGGCTCTGTGCGAGAGTTGGTCAAGACGGCGTGCTTTTCGCGGACTTCGGCGTCGCTGGCCCAGAGGAAGAAGCGACAGCGTTTCTCTTGGGGCTTTTGGCAGACGTAGACTGTGAGGGGCGGGGTGCAGGGTTCAGTGGTTAGCTAGGGATTCAGGTTGCGATTGACTTTTCTTGTACGTTTGGTAGATCAAGAAGGGATGGACCGCGTACACCATCGTCCATGGTTCACACCGTGGTTCTTGGTTTGGAATTTCGCGGCTGGGGGACGCTCTGGACAGTTGCAGCGCCAAACGCCATCGAGGAAGAGACCCCGCAGAGGAACCGCCGTGCGAGGCGAGTGAGGCGATGGGCTGCTGCCGAAGGCTTTCGTGGGTGAGAGCATGATAGACCAGTAAAAATAACTGAGGAGAAGCTTAAGAATGACTAGAACATGCTGAGAGGGACTTTATTGGATTCGAGAATAAAGATGGAGGGATAGATGGAGGGATAAGATGGTTGTCGCCATGGAAACTGGGGATGGCGTGGGTCAACCGCGGAGACATGACAGCGGAAGATCTACTTGTAACCCACGAAAAGTGGTCCGCGTTTCAGAAGCTTCCAAAAAGCCAAGCAGTCTTGGTTTGTTCTAGACTAAGGGTATTAGGTGTATACAACAGTTTGAATGCCCCGAACAGATCTTGTCCCTCTCTAGCCCATCCAGCAATCCCATGCAAGCTCTCAACCTCCAACAACCAGAATCAACGATGTATACAAGGCATGTATAGACTCTAGGGTATCTTAATGCAACCACACTCATTCCGCAAGTACCTGTCGCAACATAACGCCAAATGACTCGGACAACTTGAGAATTTCGCTTATGTCCGGCTTGACTGGCTCGCCAGCCGTGCGCCGGAGTTGGTCCTGCTGCTTAACCCGCCGCCTGCGCTCTGCCGAGATCGGGTCCAGGTCCTCTTCGTCGTCCAGATCTTCGGAAGCTTCCGACTCGGCGTCGGAGATTGCAAGATCTTCGAGATCGGCCTGTGTCCACTGGTCAGCATACAACTACACAACTGCAGCATTGATAGTCATTAAAACATACCTCGTCGAGGCCGAAGTCACTGCCTCGGAATGACGCATTACCCAGATATCCGTCGTGTGCTGTACCCTCCGCTGCCATCTTCTGTCGCGTCTTGTTCAAGTGCCACCGCTTGCGGTCTTCATGCCACTTGATCAGGGCGTTGATCTCCTCGAGTGCCTTATCCTTGTCAATCTGCACGAAATCCGTGGCTCCCCGAAGCAAGGCGTTCATATCGAGCGCGCCTCCGCGCGGCCCCTTGCGCAGGAATTCGAGAATCTCCTCGATCCATGCCATGAGAGAAGTGAACAGGCCATTGTCGTGCAGGTGAACTTCGTGAACGAATTTGTAGAAGCTGCTTTGATGACGCTCGCACAGATCGATGAAGGCTTGTACCGTCTGATTCGGATCCGCCGACACATCTTGCCGCTGGCACTTCTCGATCACCGCAATAGCATCGTCGGCGAAATGTGCGAAATCGGTGATGCTGCTGTAGACGTTGGCAGACTTGTAGACGCGCACCAGGGGTTCGTAGAAAATGGTGAAGAGGTCACGGAACAGCTGAAGTGTAGTTGGCTCTTCTACGATGCTCAACATCATGGCCTTGTCCCTTTGACGAGTGTAAAGTTTCAGGAGCTGCTTCAAGTTCGCAAACCAATGCGCCCCCTCGCGCAGCTCCACCTCTACATTGTCCACTGCTTGGTTCCAAGCCACGTATCCATTAAACACCTTGCCGAATTGCTCTGGAGCCAACTCGGGTTGCAGAAGCTCGGTACGGAGGATAGCCACGATTATGTCAACATCCTCAGCAGCAGCTTCAGCGCGAATCTCATTCTTAACCTCTTCGTCTGCATCGGTGAACGCTTTCAGCTTTTGGCAAAGGATGGGGTCTTCCACCTTGGCAGCCAGCGCATCGATCGACTTCTGGAAGGCCTTGATGCCATCGTTGAGGGTCATAGAGAAGATTCGCTGGAGCAGCGATCGCGAGCCGAAGGGCTGGGCCAAGAAGAGGTCCAGCACTCCTGCCATGACGGCCGCGGGGTTGGCAATGCGAATGACATTCTTCAACAAAGAATACGGGACAAGCGAATGGATTCGCTTAGCTTGCGCGAACAACTCAGGAGAATTATCCTCGGCCAGGAACAGGTGGTAAAGAGTTGCAGCAACCCTGGGTCTGGTCAGTCTGAACATAGCGAAACGGAATATCACCAGGCACGTACTCTATCCGGAGCCACTCTGCAAATTTCTGATACTTGGGACTCAGATCTTGCACCGTCGGCTTTTCTTTAATTTCAGCGAACAGTTTCGTCAGGCCGTCTAGGTTGGGATCCTCCTGTCAGCGAAAATAACCATTAATCAAGACCTTATCCCAGACTTACTGCTCTCCACAATGTCACGGCGGAAGTTCTCCATGTAGACGTCCAATTCGGCTGCGCGCACCCTGGCGATTTCGTAAAACCGCTTCTGCTCTTCTATCCGCACTGAATCAACATCTTTTCGCTTCTGCATGTCCAGCACCTCCTCTTCATTCAGAATGATGGGATCCGCGGTAAGGAACTCTTCCATGGCCTTCGTCTCGGCCACTCGCTTGTTTTGTAGCAAGGTGCGAAGGAAGGCCCGAAGAGAAACTCTCTGCTCTTCGCGGTAAAGCACCGTCTCCCTCGACCCGTCACTGGAAGCTCGGGGGGATCTCAAGGAACGCCTGGACGACCGCGATAACGACCGCTGATGATGGTTGCCGGGGGCCAAGTTTCGAGAGGATGTGCTGTCATCGGCCACGGCGACCCCAACTGTTGAAACCGACGACACTGAGGATGCTTCATCGTCTGCCGATCCGAACCAGCTCGTTGTGGTGGAGGATCTATTCTTGCGGGGCAGAGGTGGGAGTGGCTTCCCTGGGAATTCCGTGCGTAGACGCTTGTGAAATTTGGCGAAATCGCCATATCGACGAGCCACGAAGATATCGGGCTTCCCGTCGCGGCGCACTCGAAGGATGAACTCCTGGATTGTGCATCAGTGGGGAAGTCCAATTACACAGGCCACATAGACGCTTACCGCATGTTGGTGGTATCGCACCGTCCTCCTCACCGAAGTAACGCGTACTGCAGCCACGTTGATGTCCCAGCCATGGATGGCATGACCCTCTGGCATATTGACCAACAGTCCCTTTTCATTAGCTCCTCGGTCTACCACCTCCATCTCCGAGAACTGGATCCGCTCCTCGTAGCCCGACGCCGTGGGGATACCAGAGACCATCATCAGCTCGACCAGTTTCTCGCACTTTCGGGCCAACTTCCGGCGCTTGGTCTCTTCAAGACGATCTTCGGAGGAGGAAACATGCTTCGTCGCGAAAGATTCTAGGAACTATGGGCCGGCGATTAGTTCTCAATTTACGAGATGCGCAAAACGGGTCGGGTCGGGGGCACACGCACCACCTGTAACTTATCCTGCCAGAACTCCTTCTCACGAGCTTGATCGAGGAAGGGGAAATTGCGCACATGGTGGACAAAGATATATCGCAGGATAGGAAGTTCCGAGTCGACGGGCGCGACTTCACCGAATTCAGACTTGAAGGGGGCACCGAAGCGTCGGAGGGCGGTTGGCGAATTCAGCTCGGAGATTTCGCTCTGGACTTGGCGGGAAATGAGTTCGCGCTTGAGATCTGCATCAGTCAGAGATAGTCCCTCGAAGTGAATAAGAGGGATGCGATCAGGGAGAACTGACAATGTTCTTGCTTTCCGGTGAGGATCTGACCGGGCGCGGGGTTGGAGGCGGCTGGGGAAGCAGCTGACTGGACTCCGTTGGGAACGGAGGGGAGGTCCGCAGAAGTCATGGTTGAGTCGCTCGAGCACAGTGAATTCAGCCGGCTGGTCGGGCGATCATTGACTTTATAACTACTGCAGCTGACAGGGGTGATGGAGATAGAATCAAATTAAGATTCTAGAAGAAGAAGCCAGCGCAAAATCCGTCTGCCTAGTTGCGGCCAAGGTTCGGGCTGTGGATGATGATGACGTTTTGGTTCCAAGTGGATGCTCGGCGTGCGCCTCACCCCACGAATACACTTTGCGTGAAGATCAATGGGGTCACGGAGAAGTGCGACTAGCGATAGGACTGGGAGGGGATAGAGACAGAAGGAGGAAAGAGAGAAAAGGTGCAAAGGGAAGAAGAGGAAGAAGAAGAAGAAGAGAAAAGAGGGGAGGGAAGCAAGCAGGAAAGCAGAGAGGGGGGGAAAGCGGAGAGCGAAAACAGCGAAAACAGCGGGAAGAAGAAGATGGAGGAGAGGAAGAAGAAAGGAGTGACAATCTGCAGGCGATGACACCATCTAAAACCAGTAAATTAAAATTAGCACGAGAATGGAAAATGGATGCATTGGATTAATTGATTGATTGACTGATTGATTGATGGGATTAGTCTTAGTCTAGTAATAGTAGATAGTCTGTCAATCCCCTCTTCTGCCTTTTCTTCTCCCTACTAAACTAAGTAGTCCCTCTTCTTGGGTGCTCAGCCCTGTGGCCCCGCCGTGACCATTCCGCGGATCCCACAACATACAGACCAGCGTAATCGTATAGCTTGTTGGATGCTATTCTTGTCCACTCCCTCCTTGGTGGATCCCCGGCATTCCTCTCCCCATCTGTAGTTTATCAACAGCCTCCAACAGCCTCCATCATCCCCCACGTCCACCGGGCAGATAGACTACCTCTTAGTCTCTTCTGTCAACAAGAGAAGGATGCTGCCTATAGTTCCTGCAAGCTGCAGGTTAGTCTTTTTGGTCACCGACTGTCAGCCAATCTGACCCCATCCGAGCTCGCCTGATCTGCAACACATTTCCCTCCTTATCACTACCAACACCACTTGACCTGCTCCGATCGTCTAGGCCCATGCTTTCTTGTTGTCACGATCTTCCATTGAGCCATCATCTGTCAACTCCGTAATTCGGTTGTGCTGTCATTCAGTCTCTATCCTGGACAGTTGTCTCATCATTCAACCTTGAAGTATCACTATCTTTATGATATATAGAGTCTATTACATCCTCAGATTTGCAGATAGCCATGCTGGTGTCTGCCTGAGGCAAACACCTCATCACAATATGGCCGCAATGTCTGCCTTGCTCGTAGCAGGGACAAAGACTGGCTTCTACTATGTCCGCCAGTGTCGTAGACGGTGACGGTATATAGTATACAGTATAGATTTGCTCATAGGTAGGTTACCTAGACTCAAGACAAACGAGCGAACGTCACATTGACCATTGTATACCCCTTTTAGGCTCAAGGAATACTCTTTGGTGACTATTCATGTCTCCAGTCATACTTTCCAGGAAGAAGTACCGTGTGGAAAGACAAATGTACGTACCGCTCGAGAATTGAGTGTCCTGAAGGCTACACAATGAGCCAAGCAGTCCTCTCTGGCACCGAAACGCGGTATCCTATACAACCGCTCAGCTCCATGCCATGACCTTTGTTGTTGTCATCGAGAGAAGTTTTATAGCTTCTTCATCGCCCGTGTTGGTCTATAATTATCATTCCCCACGGTCGAGACCGAGATGTAGAACGGAAGCGACCTATTTATGGGAACATGAGGTAGGCATGTATGAGAACACGGTCATGCCTACCTCATGTTCCCGTACAGAAGCAGAATTTATTGGCTTACGGCAAGAACTATAAGAGATGGAGTCTTATACAACCATGGATCTTGATTTCTACTGGACTATGTCAATCCCCCACGGGGTTCTGGGCTCTTTCCCAGATTTCTCCTTGTCAACCCCTCGACTGCTCACAATCGACTTCTCAACTTCATCTTCAAGCGCCTCAAGCTACTTCAAATACCTCGAAATTCGACTCTCAGCAAGCGAAAACACACCTCATTACGCTATAATCCTACGAGACTTGCAGAAAGCAGCCTCGCTTTACTCTATATTAACCGCCAACCGTCATATCTACCTACTCATCGTGGAAACCGTACACATGGCTAGCAACACCATGCCGTCTACCTGTCCGTCTATGGCCACTAGACCAAGAACAACTCGTCCTTCCGGCTCCTATATCACCTGGAGCGATGTCATCCGCTCTAATCGATCTCCATCTTCGGTCATTAGACGCCTTCGAACCCATCCTCTGCGTCTACAGTCACTACCCGTGACAGTTTCCTTTTTCCCACTCCCAATCCTCCATGCACACTCGCTAGGCATGGTGCAATCCGCCGTTCCGTTCCCAAACCCATTACGCTCTATTCAGCCTGCCCTCCGACACAAAGTATTATTGGAACTGGCTCGATCTCGACTTGCCGCAAGCACGATAGTGCACGCAACCACCACGTCTCCGAAACCCGTGACTCTGACGCACCTTATTTCTCTGATATATCTCCCTTCTCTAACTGCTCCCCTAACACCTCATCCCCTGACAACACCACCACCACCACCACCACTACACCCTCCTCTGACATCTTCTCCACTAACATCCACTCACCCTCTGATACTTGCCCCTCTGACATCACCTCTCCTGATGTTCCCTCTTCTGTAACCCCCTTCTCCTCTGACACCTCCACGGAATGTAACTGCGGCTCAATCATATTCGACGCCTTGAACAACAGTCTTGGGGGTACCCCCTCCATTACCAAGGCCCTTGAAACCGTCCGCCTGTACGGCGGCTGCGGCGGACTAAAGCGTATCATCGACCCCATCGAACAGTTGAGCCTCTGCAAGACATGCACCAAGGAGGAATCCCTCCAAGATTTCTTGCACCTGGTCTGCAACGGAGTCATTCGGCAATACCGGCATTTCTACTACGCACTCAAGGAGCACTACGAAACAGTCGACTACCGGCTTGGCTTACGCTCCAGCCATGAAAGAGAGCAGCACGACTGTACTTTCGTGCTTTATGCCGTTCAAATCGTGCGCATAATTGCCAGCGTCGACCGACTCAATCGCATTCTTCCCGAACAGCCGCTCTACGACGAAGATGCCTGGTATGCCCTAGCCAACCAGGGCGAGCAACTGGTCGACGCCACCGGCCGACTCCGAGAGCAGGTGGTCTTGGGTGACGGCTGAGGGAAGGGGGTTTTATTAACTTAACTCATGTTGTACGCGGTGCATGTACCTAGAACTATGGCAGGTGGGAAGGCCGGGCGGGCGGTTGGAAAAGGCCTTCACACCATGATGGTTATGAGCCGTCTTATATATAATCAACTACCCTCAATACCTACAATGAATCATTCGACCACATTTGATGATGGTAGTAGTAGTAGTATAGATGTTCTGTAGAAGTATGTATAAGCTTCAACCCTAATGTCCATTTCCATTGGTTGCATTTCCGACCAGTAATAATAAGAGTTAAGTAGTATGCTGCAGAACATCCCGAAAAGGCCGTCAATAGAAGCCCGGCTTGAATAACACAGTGGGTGCCTCAGGCGACAAACACCCCCGTAGATCTGCTGCGCCTCCCGTTTCACTTGCTGATCTCCTCCAACTCTCCGGCCGTCGTGTCGGAAACTCAACCTTGACAATCCCTCTTCTGCTTTGATTCTCGAGTCCATGACTGCATTCGTTCTTTAAGAGCGCGAACCGGTGCACAAACTGTTCACTACCTTTCGCACTCCTCTTCGACCCCATCACCGCCGATCCCCCGAGCCGACGATAACGATCCCTCGGCTCTTATCTACCGGAGCTGCCAGTGACTCCCTTCCACCGCTACCCTCGTGATCGTATGTGACACGGAGACACTCTCCAGCCTTGCCTCCTTTAGGATCCTCTCCCAGAATGGGGAAATACCAAGAGGATGACAACAACGAATTCCTCCCCATGAGCCGTCCACGGCCGTCCACGTCCTCAACATCCTCCGATTCGGGTCTCTCCGTCGATACCACCGCCTACCCCGAAGAATCCAAGTACACTTCAACCGCCCCCGGCGCCGGTGGACTGTCCGATGAGAATAGATACCGAGATGTAGAAGAGGGAGAAGCAGGGGCAGACGAGCCGTTCCTCCCTTCGGCAAAGAAGCCAGCTGCCTCCGGAAGCCGCACGTCTCGTCTGATTTGGGGCCTGGTGATACTCTGCGTCGCCGGTTGGCTTTGGGGCCTGGTGTTGTTTGTGACTCAAAATCGCTCGGCCCAGCAGTCAGTTTCCGAAGCGCTGCAATCGCACGAGTCGGGTGCGATCTCCGGGAGTTCGAGTTCTGGAAAACCGGTTACGCTGGAGCAGGTGCTTACGGGACAGTGGCTTCCTCGGTCCCATGCTGTTTCTTGGATTGCAGGACCTAATGGCGAGGATGGTCTTTTGGTGGAGCAAGGAGAGGATCAGGGCAAGGGATATTTGCGGGTCGACGACATTCGGAGTCGCAAAGGCGATGCGACTAGCCAGGAAAGCAGGGTGCTGATGGAAAAGGCAATTGTGCAAGTGGATGGACGGACGATCTTCCCGGTCTCAACATGGCCGAGCCCAAACTTGAACAAGGTGCTGCTTTTGTCCGAGCGCGAGAAGAACTGGAGACACTCTTTCACTGGGAAATATTGGATCTTCGATGTGGCTACCCAAACCGCACAGCCACTTGACCCAAGTAACCCTGATGGACGCGTGCAGCTCGCAATCTGGTCGCCAACCTCAGACATGGTTGCCTTCGTGAGGGACAACAACTTGTACTTGCGTAGATTGTCCTCGAAGGAGGTGGTTCCTATTACAAAAGACGGCGGTGCGGATCTTTTCTACGGCATTCCCGATTGGGTCTATGAGGAAGAGGTCTTTTCGGGCAATAGTGTAACATGGTGGTCTGGAGACGGGAAATACGTGGCTTTCCTGCGAACCAACGAGACGGCTGTCCCTGAATTTCCCGTCCAGTACTACCTGTCACGGCCATCTGGCAAGCGACCTCCCCCGGGGCTGGAGGATTACCCAGAAGTCAGGGAGATCAAGTACCCCAAGGCTGGCGCTCCCAACCCCGTTGTCAGTCTGCAGTTCTACGACGTTGAGAAACAAGAAGTCTTCTCGATCGAAACACCGGATGATTTCGAGGATGACGATCGCATCATCATCGAGATCGTGTGGGGCACCGAAGGGAAGATCCTTGTGCGCGCAACCAACCGAGAAAGCGATGTCCTGAAGGTGTTCTTGTTCGACACGAAAGCCAGAACCAGCAAACTTGTACGTACTGAGAATGTCGCTGATATCGACGGTGGCTGGGTAGAGCCTACGCAGTACACATGGTTCATCCCAGCAGATCCCAGCAATGGCCGCCCTCATGATGGATATCTCGATACTGTGATCCACGAGGGTTACGAGCACCTGGGTTACTTCACGCCCCTGGACAACTCAGAACCCATTCTCCTCACCCAGGGTGAGTGGGAAGTAGTGGACGCGCCAACCGCCGTGGACTTGCGCAAAGGCATCGTGTACTTCATCTCTACAAAGGAATCCCCCACTGAGCGACACCTCTACCAGGTGAATCTAGACGGATCCAACCTCAAGCCTCTAACAGACACCTCCAAGCCCGGCTACTACGACGTATCCTTCTCCCACGGAACCGGCTACGCCCTGCTCAGCTACCGAGGTCCTTCCATCCCATGGCAAGCGATCGTCAACACCGAGACCGACGAGCTGAAGTACGAGGAGACCATCGAAGACAACGCCGGTCTGGCACGTATGGTTGACTCATACGCCCTTCCCACTGAGATCTACCAGAACGTGACGATCGACGGCTTCACCCTACAAGTCGTCGAGCGCCGTCCCCCACACTTCAACCCAGCCAAGAAGTACCCGGTCCTCTTCTACCTCTACAACGGCCCACGCTCCCAAACCGTCGACCGCAAATTCAGCATCGACTTCCAATCCTACGTCGCCTCCAGCCTCGGCTACATCGTCGTGACCGTCGACGGCCGCGGCACCGGTTTCTCTGGCCGCAAAACCCGCTGCATCGTCCGCGGCAACCTAGGCTACTACGAAGCCTACGACCAAATCACCACGGCGAAGCTCTGGGGCGAGAAGCCTTACGTCGATGAAACCCGCATGTCCATCTGGGGCTGGAGTTATGGCGGATTCATGACACTTAAGACATTGGAACAAGATGCCGGGCAGACCTTCCAGTACGGCATGGCCGTAGCCCCTGTGACTGACTGGCGACATTATGGTAGGCCCCTCCTTAACCCTCTCCTCTTATAAACTCACACTAAAACTAATAATAAATAGACTCGATCTACACCGAACGCTACATGCACACCCCAGCCCACAACCCCAACGGCTACGACAACACCTCCATAACCGACATGACCGCTCTCCAACAAACCGTGCGATTCCTCGTCATCCACGGCGCCTCGGACGACAACGTCCACATTCAAAACACGCTCGTCCTCGTGGATAAACTGGACCTGGCGGGCGTGCAGAACTACGATTTGCATTTCTATCCAGATTCAGATCATAGTATCAACTTTCACAATGCGCATAGGATGGTTTATGAGCGTGAGCCCCCTTTCCCTTCCCCAATCCCGTGGATGTCAAGTACGGTTGGTATTGAGACATGTACTGATGATATTGATAATAGGACTATCGAGCTGGCTCGTCAACGCTTTCAACGATGAATGGCATCGCATAGCGGATCCGGTCCCGGATGACTCAATGTGGGAGAAGGTGAAGAGGTCGTTGCCGATGTTGGTGAATTGAATTGAATTGATTCGTTGCATCATAATTATATTTCTTTATTCTATTATGTTTGATACTAGTGCATACATATATATCATGGTTTCGGGGTCATATCTAGTTCCTACATACTACATAGCATGATACGTATGTATGGACATGTCAAAGGCGTTTTCTATTCACTATAGGTACTCATCTATCACGGAAAAGGGAAGCACTTTAATTGCATTAAAGCATTACAATAATAGTAGTATTTTTCATATCACCATGCAACTGAAACAAACAATCAACAAAACATCCCAACATCTCTATGCTATGCAAGTTTCAGCTCAAAACCAACATCAACATCAACATAAACATCAACATCTGTACAATGAATGCATATGGCAAGAAAATATGAACAGATATCCCGTGCGATCGAAGTGGAACGCAGGAAATGAAGCGAGTGAAAGGAACGACACACGAGGTATATAGTATATAATATATACAAAAAAGAGCGACGATATTTCTCCTCGTCCAACCAACTCAAATATGCACAAGATGCAACAACAACAACAACAACAAACCAACACACAAAAAGGTGGGTATAAACTCTCCTCAAGCAGTGACATCAACGACAACACCGCAGAGTCATTCAATATCAGACGATGTTGCTACCACCACTGCCACCTTCAATGCCCCTAAAAATGCTCGATTGCAAAAACTCCTCTCTCATAATCATGCTGACATCTGAGTTGCGATACTGATGCAGATCCTCACGTTGCAGACCACGCAGCTGCTCTCTCCCAGCGGTAGAAATAGACTGAGAGCGCGAATGACGTCCCGAGCGGCTCACCACCGGCGACAAACGACCGGGGGAAAGATGAGTATCTCCGCCTGGTCCACTGGAGAAAGACAGTGTCTGCCGGGGTGCAAAGACAGGGAGGGAAGCGCTGCTGGGGAGGCGCATGAAGGAGCTCGCGTCCGTGGAGGTATTACTTAGACTGGACCGGATAGACGAAGGACGTTGATTGCCGGTGGGCAGCATCGGGAAGTTCGAGACAGAGCTGTAGAGAGTGGACATGCCTGATGCAGCGGACGAGCGCCAGGAGTTGACCGCGCTGCGGGGGATAGTGATGACTTCTTCGTCGATGGGGAGGGTCTGCTGCAGCGCCGTGGCGACGTCTGTGGGTTCTTGGAGGTTAACGTGCGGACGGTTGGCCATGATCTTAGCGGATTTGCCGATCCAGAGCATTTGCTCGTGTTCACGGAGGTAGCGGTCACCGCTGAAGGATTTCTGGACGATCTTGCGGGTCATCATTCCCAGTTTGCGACGGTGCTCGCTCTTCTCGTACATGCGACGGGTGATCTTGGCGACGTCGTCGGGGGTCGGGGAGGAGGTAAGCACTGGTGGTGGAGCGTCGTCTTCGGCGTACTTGCTCCATTCACCGAGGAGGCCGAGCATGGTGATTTGGGCCTTTGCGAGGGCAAGGGCGTCGTTGGGGGCGACGACGGCGCTGAAGCGGGAGAAGTCATCTGGGTCGCTGAGGACGCGGAGGGAGGCGCCGACGTCGGTGCAGACGACGGGGGCGCCGGTTAGGGCGGCTTCGCCGAGGGCGAGGGGGAGACCTTCGGAGAGGGAAGAGTTGAGGAAGAGCCAGGTGTTCTCGAGGACTTTCATGGGGTCGGCGGTGCCGCGGAGGGTGACTTTGCCGCGGAGGCCCTTGGAGGCGATGATTTCTTGACATTCCGTGGAGTAGGTAGGGGCTTTGTCGATGGCTCCGTAGATGTCGAGGTGGTAGTCGTCGAACTTCCACTGGTTGATGATGATGTCCGCGGCCAGGAGGGCGATTTTGATGTCTTTGGCGTACCAGACGTGGGATAACATGGTGACGGTTGGGCGCTGGGATTTGATCTCTTTGACGGGGGCAAACTTCTGCATGTCTGTGATGCCGTTGACGACGGGGTCGACCTTGCGGCGGAAGACGTTGCGGTGCTCGATGGTGCCCTGGCAGGTGCCGATCTCGACTTCCCAGCCTGGGTTGAAGAAGTCGGCGCAGGGGGAGATGATGTCGGCGTGGTGCAGGGTTAGGACCGAGGTGACGCGCATGAGGCCGAGTAGGGAGTTGCGGACGAAGGGAGAGAGCTTGCAAAGGGCGGAGGACAGGCAGAGGTTGGTCTCACGCCAACTGATGGCATGGTCCCAGATCTGGAGTGTGCAGTTTCTCTTCACCTTGCAGACGACACCGTAAGATGCACTGACGCTGTGGTGCGATGCTTGGAAGACATTGGGGATCTTCTCGGGGATTGGAATCGAGAAGATGAACAGGTAGCGATACCAGAGTTCCAGTGCAATGTCGAGAGACGCCAGCGTGGGGAGTTCCGTGCGGAACCATTCAGACGAAGGGACGGTGTTGGGCATTTCTTGACTGAGCCAGAGGTCGCGCCAGCTTTCCTTGACAATCTCACTGTCCCAGACTTGGGTCCAGTGCCGGGAATCTTGGAAGTAGGTGTTGAGATTGACCAAGGCTCGAGTCGCTTGCTGGATATCCGCCTTGGACAGATGGATAGCGCGAGCTCCCTTGACTAGTGCCGTCAAGATGGGGATGAAGTTCATCTTGATGTCCATCTCACTGGCGGAAGTGACATTCTCTACTTCCGAGTCCAGCTTGTTCCTGAAGAGACCGTGCGTGGGCGTGAGGAAGTCGAGACCCCAGAGAGGGACAACCTTCAAGGAAAGAATGTTCTGCTCGGTTTGGTGCTTGGGAATGCCAAAGTCATTGGCAGACTCGCAAATCATATGCCACTTGATAGTCCTCAGAGAGTTGATCATATCGCGTCGGCATGCAGAAACGCCACCTCCTTCGTTTGGCCAGGTACCATTGTCAGCAGCCATGACATGCAGGCTCTTCTCCGTATCAGCGCCAAAGTCCTTGGATCTAGTGTTGACGACTGCATCACCACCAGGGCCAAAGTTGAAAAGATCACTGATCTTCACGGCAAGCGGGGTCCAGCTAGAGATGTTGTCGTCCAGATCTGCACTAGCTGTGATGGTGTCTGCGCGGACATCCAGATACTTCTTGGCCGAAGCAAGGTCACCGCGATCCCGACTACGCCAGTAGGGAGCGAGGGTCTTATCTCGGCGCAAGAGTCGTTCATCCATCCAGCGAACGATGACACCATCAAAGTCGACACGTTCCTTCCAGGCCTTCCAGATCAACGAGCGAGCGCGAGACGTTGACACCGGGAAGCGCTTCTTGGTGAGTCCGAAGAACCGGCTGAAGATGCTTGAGTTCAAACTATCACAGTACAAGAGAGGATTGTCATGCACAAAGCTGGTGTGTTTCGGCTTGGCCAGCACTCCGAGGTAGTCGTGTTCCATCATGGGGGGCGTCTGCACCTTTTGTCCGTTGAGCGTGGTGAAGATAGTGGGATGGAACTTGTGATCATAGAGCCAACGTGCCTCGTAGACATCGGCGCCCTGAACGAAAGTTGCCTCGGTGACCTTGGAGTGAGGGATCCAACGGTCTATCTTCTCGGGATGGCGCAGAGGAGGAGCGCACCATGAGACCGTACAAGTGATGTGTGAGAGTGAAAACTCGGCTCGAAGCAACTCGTCACCAAAACGGGGGTTCTTGCGATAATGGTACTTGAAACGGATCAGATTTCCATCCTTCATGTAAGATCCTGCCTCGATGAGTCCCTTCCGGTTGTACTGCACACTCTGCAAGTGGTTGTCTCCGCGGACACAACGCCGGCCCATTGGGATTCTTGCTTGGGACGACTTGGATAAGCCAAAGGCCTTCTTGGCCGGGGCGCGGTAGTCGTAATGGTACTCGTTGAGCAGCTTTCCACCCTTGAACTCCTGGCGGACCATAAGCAGCACATCCTTGGAGTAAACACAGACGTAGCTGAGACTCTTCGTGCCTTCAGGCTCTGTCTTGTGCTGGCCGGAGTAGTAATAGATTTTGAAGCCTCCATCCGTTTCATCATGCTTGAAGGCAGTGAATGTGCCATCCAGACTTTGAATGATGAACCTGCTCTTTTGGATGCTGATGGTCATTCCCTTGGCCTCATTCCAGAGCTGCTTTACATTATCACGACCATGGAACAAAAAGAAGGAGAGACCGATATTCTGCATAATTCTTGAATAAGACCAGAGCAAGCTCAATGCCAGGGTAGCCGGTACGCGGATAATGGCATGGTGTTGCCCGATAACATGATCGAATTCTCGCTGGAATTCGGGATCGGCGACGAGAGCAACCACAATGAACTTGACAACTGAAGCGAAAGCGTAGTAGATGGTGTTCCAGGGCTTTACCAGCATTTGAATGATCGAAGGAAGCTTCTTCGGGACATATGGAATATGCTCTGGAGTCTCAGGATCGTTGAAAGTGGCTGCTTCACCAGTACCGTAGTGTGCGTAATCCAGGATGCTGACAGCACTAGCAGCTCCGAGATTGCTTCGGGCGACGTGCACATCGAGAGTATCAGCATCGAACTGGCAAAGCCTTCCTTCCAGCCATTGCCGGCTAGCCTCAGAGAGCTGGCATGGCTGGCCAAGGCACCGGTTGATCAAAGCCTGTCTGACGTCCTTGGGCAGCTTTTCCCAGTGAGAATCACAGTCGAATCCGAGGCACAGCTGCTGAAGGAGCTCCTTCTTGGCCCAGCGTATGACGACCGGTGTATTGGGCTCCGCGCGAAGTTGACGTGCCATGGTTTCCGTCACACCTGCCGTGACGAGCGACTCGGCAAGTACAGCATGTTCATGAGGCATATGCAGCATCGATTCCGCAACAGCGTGAAGCAGAGTCTCTGCGATGACCTGGCAGTTCGCACTGACGTCAATCCGTTGGTCTAGTCCGCGGCCTACACAGATGGCGATGTGCAGTTGGCCTGACGTACAACAACTCAATGCATGAATGCCAGGACCCAGTGAGCCAACGGGAACAAGCTCCAGGGAGATTTCGCCTTTGCCCCAGGCGCCTAACGCCAGGTTCACGAGGTCGTCGGACTTGGGGAATGCTTCTTCAATTCTTGTTTCCTTTCTGCGCGAAAGTAGGATCTCTTTGACTTCCACACCGGGATGGGCTTGGGGACTCAGGCTCAGGCGCGCGTCGGACGGAACAAGCGAGAGCTTCTCGTAGAACGTTTGCAGCTCCTGTTGGGACCATTCCGGATCTGACCAGGGAGACGTGTATGCGTGGAATACCCTTCCAAGCTCGACCGGAGAGGAGACCTTCTTCGGCATGCCCATCTTCGCCTTGAATAGTGTGAGGATAGCGACAGTCCATGTGGCAGACCCGAGACCAATGACTTCCGAATACAAGAAGTGCGGCAGGCGGGTCTTGAGAGCGATGCCAACCGGTAAGCCAACGACACACCCGATGAGTAGGGTCTTGAACGCATGCGGACCAGAGAAGATCTTCGTGTACTGGTACCAAAGGAGACCGGTGTATGCCAGAATGTAAGCGACAAAGATGATCATCGCTTCCATTGTATCCTGGAAGGTCCAGATCAGAGCGGTGGCAAGGGCTAAACTCCATACGTGCCACCCGAGATACTTGAATAGAGTTCTCCAGTATACCATTCTCTTGTATTTCACGTCCCGCTTCTGCGCCAAGCGGATATCTTTAGCATTGGGCACGGCAAGCGTTGTCTGCTTTCCAACAAGATCATGAAGCTCCTGAGCCTTGGTGTCGATGAGGACCGCACCGATTAGGTAGTATGCCAGGCCAAATCCGACGGCCATCCGCTGCGAACTGGTATCCGAAGGGGCAAGACCTGTCATTTGACCGCCGGTGAGTAGCTCCACCCACTTGTCAAGCAGGGCTAGCAAGAAGTACAGGACACCGCATCCGATTTCTCTGCTGGACTGTCGCCACTGGATGAAGGCATTGTGCAGCCTGATGCCCTTTTGCGAGTTTCGGAGCACCTCCAGTCCAACTTTGGTCTGGATGTTCCAGGAAGAACTGAAAGGAATTGGCCTGGGTACGTCGGCATATCTGCAGTACCAGTCGAGGAGGAAGTTGGTCGCCTCCCAATCCTTGGCTAGCTCCAGCACCAACTTGTCGGTGGTAGGCTTCTGGTAGAACCAGCGTTTAGTCTCCGCGAGAACATCCTTGAACAACGCCTCTCGGGATAGCTTTAGGACGGCCGGGTCACTCAAATTTCCAAAGACCTTCTCATCGTTGTTACCGTAAGTGGCAACGTACCACTTTCGGATTTCGGTATCATCTGTTCTCCGAATGCTCTGGTACCAAGTGACCCATTTGGAGGAGACAGATCTCAGACCAAGGAGCAGCAATCCGATAAAAGCATAGATCACAGCAAGGTAGATGGCCGAGTCATGACCGGTGAAAGTGGTAACAATGGGGGAGATAAATAAGATCGGGACACATGCGAAGATGACCTTGCGGCCGGAGAGGAACGTGGAGCCAGGGTAGCTGAAACTCGCCAGCGAGGCGAAACACGAGAAATAGAGTGTCAGGGCAATGAGGTAGAGGTAGAAGATGATTCCGGCCCGCGGGCTCACGGCGGCCGAAATGCAGATGAAACCGATGAGACCACCAGCTACTGTGAAGGCGATGCCAGCAATCAGTCTGATCAGAACAAACATGTTGGCAGCTGCGAAAGCCATGGAGATGAGGTAATAGGGTCCTCCGCAAGCAATCCAGGTGCCAATAGCACCGGAGAGCAAGAGCGAAATCATGAGTGCAATAGTCGCACTCTGTTGCTCTTCGGCCGTCATGAAGGCAGAGAGATACAGTCCGCGACCGATGATCGTGAGAAGAATGATATCAATCAGAGCAGGGAAAGCGAACACACTGAGGAAAGTGAAGCGCTGATATCCACGCATGGGCTTGACCTTGTGAGTGGCATCGACATCAATCTGGGCACCGGCATATGAAGAAGCCATGTCCGGAGCACCGTGGATCCAGTCAGGAAGCTTCTCATCGTTGTAGCTTTTGCGGAAACGATCCGACAGAAGCTTTCCAAAGGCACTTGGCGAAACATCGAAGTAGGCTTCGCAGCGGGATCCGAGAGCAAACGATTCGGCGAAAGCTGCCGCCTGGTCGGACTGGTTGTTGAACAACGGATTGCGGTCAGTTACCTCGGCATAGATCTCGTCGAGGGCACCCTTTCGTGCGGCGCAGAACAACGACAGGACCAGTACGTCAGTATAGGCATCAATAGGACCATCCTGGACGAGCTGGCCCAGACCACTCGAGATCTGAGCGAGGTCGTCCTCTCTCCGCTCTCGCAGTACCTTGGTGAAGACCGATTCCGCCTCGTAGAACAATGCAAGAGACGAGGCAGCAGAAGGATATTGACAGCCCTGCTCCTTGTACCAGTTGATCCGAGTCTCGATCAAGAGCTCTGGCGAAGCCGACCCCTCCAGGTAGGCGACCGTGTTGAGCTCCTTCAGCTGAGCCAGAGTTGGCGCGTCCACGAGTTGTCGCCGGATGTACGCACACATGGTTTCAGAAAGGTCGCCCTTGGCATCGGTCAATGACAGATGCTGCAACAGCAAAAGTCGTTCCTCCGGACTTAAGGCGTCAATGTCCTGGATGATGCGACGCGGTAACCCGATATCCTCGTTGATATCTTTGGACCATCTCGCCAACGCAATTTCTGCCTCGAAACAAACGTGACGGGGGTAGCCTTTGGCGGAGAGGAAGGTGTGCAACACGGTGCCAGCCAGTCCCTGGGCATTCTTTGAGGCGAAGACATCGAAGCCATCCGCGTCCATCTGATACACGGCCCAGAAGCGGACATCAGCACTCTTGCGCAGACCAGAATCCAGCCCGAGGTATACCCGCAGCGTATCGTTAGCTGCCATGTTCGATAACTCCTTGACCGAGGCAGCCAGTTGGTCCGAGGCCATCCAGCTCGAGAGGGCGAAATTTTCATAAAACTGTCGGAAGAGGAGCCCCAGATTCTGCAATTTCGACGACGGAACCGGATGAAGCAGGTTGAGTGACTTCAGACGCTGCTGGGAATGAGCAATTTCGGCAAAAGCAACGGGTGTTGCCTCTGAGCCGAGCGGGAAACAACCAAGTTCCTTGTATTCGACACCCGCCATGGAGATGGACAGCGGACTGCCCTGTGACTTGACTTGAGCAACCCATTCCGGAGGCTCGCGAAGCTTGTTGGCTGGTGGGTTTTTGATTGTAGGCGAGTGTTCGGAAGAAAAGAGCAAGTCGTCCACAGAGGGGAAATATGCGCGCAGTGTATCCCAAGAGGCCTTGGCAACATAGTTGCGTGCGATGTCGAGGTTGGTGCGCCAGCGATCGTGGGCCTTCATGGTCTCCGCATCTTTCAGCCAACTAAAGGAGGACAGCGGCTCCGGGGTCTTGACATTGATGGCAGCGTTTTCGAGAGCGGCCTTGCGGCCAATCCAGGGAATTGCGCTGTAGAAATTACACCACTGCATAGACCGTTGAACGACAGCATTCGAAAGCGTAACATCGTCGTCGACAGTTTCCCAGGCCAGAACCAAAAAGTCTCTCATGCATGCCTCTGACACAAAGGCTTTAATGGTTGGGCGCAGCTTGTCGAGCTGGAAGTAGTCTCGCTTCTGACCGTCGGGGAGGATGCTAGCATTTCGGACGACTAAACCAGAGATGGCTGGGGTTTGTAGCGATTGACCATCCTCCAGGAAAGTGGGCGGACCAGTCTCCAGATACACAGCCAGACCCAGACCGTGGATGGCTTCGGCCAATTTGGCGAGAACCTTGGGCTTGAACTTGTCCTCCCAATTCGCCAGCACAATACCAGAAAAGGCACTTCCGTGAAAGCTTCCAGCCAGGGCGCTGTCGATCTGTTCGATGGCGGCGAGAGTCAAGTCCTGCTGGGAAGAACTTAGGGCGAGATCAACTCGGCCCAAAACCTGCTTCCCGTCGGTATGCGAAATTGCATGAACAACCCCGGACTTGGAAGGATCCACAATCAAGAGGTCGTAGCGATCGAGAAGCTGACGATGCGTCTCATCCAAAGGAGTAGCAAAAGTGCCTAGGTAGACTCCCACGGATGTAGGCTTCCGTTTCGTGTGATGCGCCGCGGCTAGGGTAAGCTGTTGGTTGGCGATCTTGTCCAGGCGTTGAGTGACAGCAGCCGGCACAATTTCTACACGCGGTCTTGTCTGAAAGGGAAGATCAGATAAAGGGGTTCCAATTAGCATATACATGTTGGGGGGTGGGAACCCACCTTATACCATCGTATAGCTCTGCGGGTGCCGGAGTAGGTAAGATATGAACATCCACAGACCACACTTGCCAGCAAGATGGCAATCAGAACCTAAAACAAAGTAGAACAGGTTAACACCAGACAAGTTTCTCCGAGGCAGGACACACAGTCACGTACATATTGCCACCAAAATTCTTTCATGAACACCCACCCGACGGGTGAGACGTCGAGGATTTCCGCCATCCCGGAGAGAGATTAACGGAAGAACGTTGCGAAGCGAAGGACATGTAGGAGCATAACAGGAGATCGAGCAGACAGTATTAGACTACAATTAGAGGCTCGAATCGGGCATTGGAGGGGGTTAAAGTTCTGTCTTTCTCTAAGCCATGCTCCAGGCGAGTATTTGCAACCTATCCGGCGGGGGAGGGGTGAATAGATTAACGAGTGGTAAATGAAAACGATAGACTGTCTGGGAATATAAACGAAGGGAGGTAAGTAAGAAAGAAGGTGGTAAGAACGAGGGGCGCCACCGGCAGGATAAAGAAAGGGAAAATAAAAACAAAAATAAAGAAAAGAAACTAAATATACAAGCAGAGATGGGATGGGATAGGATGGGATGGATCAAGGAGGAATGAACCCGCAGCAGCCAAAGTGCCAGCCTCAGGACGACTTCCTCCACTGACTTGTATGATTGAGCGAGAGACAGAAAGAAAGAGAGACAGACAGCGTGTTAGGTCAGCGGCTACTGCAAGATGTCAGTTAAGGTCCATCCTTTTTCTGTCTGTCTGCCTGTCTCCTCTTTCTTTTTCCGCCTGTTTTGGGGGGGTTTTTTTTTCTTTGGGTCGCATTAGATCGGAACCACTGGGTCTGATGCAATTGGAATGGCCGGTGGCGGACCAACCCAGCACTGGGCAACAAAAATAGCGAAGCGTCGTCTCAGCTTTCGCAGCTAACTGGCGCTAAGAAGTTTAGGACTGTTTGACGATGAGCACTACTAGTTACTGTAATGTTTAGTTTGACTCGGTCTCGGGCAGAAGCGATGCCATTGGGGAGTAATTGGCCTTTCTAGCAGCCAATTCCGTGGAGTAGAGAATTTGTTCTTATTTGATTTTTATTTTTTTTATTTTTAATTCCTTTTTGTTTGGCATCTGAGCACGCCAGGAGGTTAACAAGCTGATCAAATCAGAAGACTGGGAAAAGGGAGGGTTCCATTCATGGACCAGGTAGAGGAGGGGAAGACACAACAGTGCTGGTGACGAGGGGACGGAGTCTTCCATGCATCATCATTCGTGTTGCCTATTGGTCTAGGAAGAAAGAAATTGCTTTTCTTGCTTTGTGGTCTGCTCCTTACATTAGCCCAAGTGGAGAGAGAGAGAGGATTGTAGACTCGACTGGACTGGACTCGACTCGACTCATGAGAAAGAAAGACGAAAAAAAAAAAAAAAAAAAAAAAAGGCAGAAAAGGGAAGGATGGCGGCGGTGGAGAAGAGCACCTGCAGCTATCCAGATTAGGGCAAGTCTCGTCTGCTTACGGATACATCCCGTCATCCTGTATCCAAACCATACCGTATTATACACTCTTCGGTTTTACAAAAAGACCATCTGTGTGACATGGACGGAAAGTTTGTATTACCCATTGGTGTAACAAACACGATGGAGTCACTTTCCCATCGGGCCCTAAACTCATGTCCATTGATTCCCCTTCCATGATCCTGCTGATGAAGGTTTTCGGGTGTGCCTAGTCGATTGTTTTTTTGTAACCCCACATCGGTACTAAAGTCGATCTTTCGGGCTTCCCAGAATTCAATATCCGCCTCAGTCCCCCTAAACCCTGAGTAAAAAGTAAAAGAAAACGAGGCAAAAGCCACTAAATTTGGACCCTTGGCAACCCTGGGTTGGGCCTCTCCGTCTGCCTCCCCATCTGGCTGGCCCGGTGCCACAAAAGTGCGGCCAAGCCAACTATGTTGGTACACCTCCATGGTTAGCTTGTTTGGATTTTTCCCAATCCTGGTTAAACATGCTATACTAAGCCCAAAGCAATCCAGGAACTCATCCCATGATGGGGGGTCCTCGGTCAGACTTCGGGGGGCCAATTTCCACCAGGGCAGCCCGAGCCCCAGGAATGTGAAAGACTAGTCACAATCTTGAACATCCATAGAAACCATCCCCTCGGTCCCTTGGAAACCAGGCAAAGCTCCGTCTCGGCCTCGGGATTTAGATCCATGAACTGGTCCATCCATGAGGATTCTAAATTGGAGAGCGGGTCTGCAAGGACCCTCCCAGAGGATATGGAATCTATGAATCGGGCTGGGTCGTGGAACCCTCGGAGGAGGGAGGGGAGGGTCCATCGCGACGATTTGGTCAGGCCAAGCAAGTGGAAACGATAGGTTCCCAATTCTCCGTGCGGTTGCTACGCCCATCTGTTCGGGATAAATAGACATACATAATGTGATTGCACGCGCATATGACAGCCCGCTGTTCCTTCTCTCCACAATCGACGGCGTTCTTCCAGGGGTCCGTTGCTGCAGGTCCACCTCAGTCATTCGTTATCATTCGCCTTCGCTTCCTTGTCCTTCGTTTCTTTTTCTGCTTAGCGAAGAGGGGGTGGTGCTCAGTGCCTGAGCCGTTCGTATCGCAATGAATTCCCTCAAATCGTCGATCACCAGTCTCAACTGCTTTCTGGGCTTTATAACATGCACCACGCCCCCGGGGATTTGGCCTAAGAACCCGACGGTTCTAACCAGCGCATCTACTGCCTCAGCTACTCCTGTCGCTGAAGTCACCAGGCCCACCACTCCTGGTACTACTTCAGCTGTCCATTCGTTGACTACCACGACTACTGCTTCTCTCGTTTCCTTCTTGTCCAGTACTAGCTCTGCCGCGTCCACCTTTGTGACCTCGGTGGGCTCTCCTACCACATTCGTTGATACCTCTGCCAGTGGGTCTGCCAGCGCCCTAAGCAGCAGCACTACCACCACTATGTCTGTCAGTCTGAGTCTCAGTTCGAGCATTGTGGCCTCGTCTGCTGTTCCTGCAGCGACGCCCATCAGCAGCGGCTCCATTGCCGCCGACATCCTGGTGATTGCACGCGACACTGCCTCAGCAGGCGTGGCATCATCTGGTCTCAATGCCTATGGCATTCCCTTCACCACTCTGATTGTGCCCCAGTCCGGCACGAGCCTTCCGGCCCTGAACGGCACGGAGGGTGGCAACTTCGGCGGTATTGTGGTTGCCAGCGAAGTCAGCTACAACTATGGCAATGCCACAGGGTACCAGAGTGCCCTAACCACGGACCAATGGAACCAGCTGTACGCCTACCAGCTGGCCTACGGGGTGCGCATGGTGCAGTACGACGTGTATCCGGGCCCGAGTTACGGCGCCAGCGCTGCCGGCGACGGCTGCTGTGCCACCGGGGTCGAACAGTTGATGTCGTTCACGGACATCAGCGACTTTCCCACGTCGGGCCTGAAGACCGGTGCGGGCGTGAGCACCACTGGCCTCTGGCACTATCCTGCCACTGTCACCAACACCACCACCACCAAAGAAATCGCTCGTTTTGCCGCCAACTCCGACTCGGGCAGCGAGACCACCGCTGCCGTGATCAACAACTTCAATGGCCGTGAGCAAATGGCCTTCTTCATCTCCTTCGATACTACCTGGAGCGCCACCTCCACGTACCTGCAGCACGCATGGATTCCCTGGCTCACCCGCGGTCTGTACGCGGGTTACCGCCGCGTGAACCTGAACACGCAGATCGACGACATGTTCCTGGAAACCGACATCTACAAGCCCAATGGCACCACCTTCCGCATCACCCCGGCCGACCTGGACGGCATTGCTAACTGGCTGCCGGAAATCAACGGCAAGATGAACGCCGGCAGCAACTACTACGTCGAAGTCGGCCACAACGGCAACGGCAACATTGAAGCCGCCGCCGGGGTCTCGGACGAGGGCTACACCACCTGCAACGAGGGCGGCATCGAGTACAACTCGCCCGCCGACACTCCCCTGGAATGGAAGAAGCCTCTGGGGACCGGCACCAACCTCTGGCCCTCCTCTCCCACCACCTACGACTGGAGCACCGCCTGCACGCAGTTCGACCCTCTCCTGCTCTGGTGGACCAACACCACCAACCAGGACAAGTTCGGTCACATCTCCCACACCTTCACCCACGAGGAGCAAGACAATGCCACCTACTCTGATGTCTACAAGGAAATCTCCTTCAACCAGGCCTGGCTGAAACAGGTCGGCATCTCCTCCGCCAAGCACTTCACTGCCAACGGCATCATCCCTCCCGCCATCACGGGCCTGCACAACGGCGACGCCCTGCGCGCCTGGTGGGAAAACGGAATCACCAACTGCGTGGGTGATAACACGCGCCCTGCCCTCCTGAACCAGCAGAACGACATGTGGCCCTACTGGACCAACGAAGACTCCGACGGTTTCGCCGGTATGCAGGTCAACCCGCGTTTCGCCACCCGCATCTACTACAACTGCGATACCCCGGACTGCACGCTGCAGGAGTGGATCGACACGTCCGCTGGCTCCGGTGACTTTGACAACCTGCTCGCTACGGAGAAGGGCGAGGTCATGCGTCACTTGTTCGGTCTGCACCATGACCCCTACATGTTCCATCAGGCCAATCTGCGTAATGCAGATGTGACCCCCATCACGGTCAACGGCGTGACGGCCCAGTACTCCATCTTCCAGGCGTGGGTGGAGACCCAGGTGCAGGAGTTTGTGCGCTTGGTTGATTGGCCGCTTGTTACCATCAACCATGAAGATGTACGCCAATACAGCCCCCATATTACCACTCCAACTGAACCCACTGGTTATGAATGCTAATAATATGAATAGATGTCCGCCTCCTTCCTGGCCCGCTACACCCGCGACGCCTGCAACTACTCCCTGCGCTACACCATCTCCGACCACAAGATCACGGGCGCCACCATCTCCGCGACAGATAACACCTGCAATGCTACCATCCCCGTTACCTTCCCTGTGGCGCCGACCAACACGCAGAGCTTCACAACCGAGCAGGTTGGAAGTGATCCGTTGACGGTGTGGGTGCAGTTGTCGGGGTCGCCGGTCAGCTTCACGCTGTCGACGCCGATTGCGCTGTAAGAGAGGGCGGGAGTTTCTAGATGTTCATAAAATGTGTAATGGATATATTAGATACTAGTCAGTGACTACGTGGGTATGATTATTTTGAGTCTGAATATATTAGTTAGTTTAGTTAGTGAGATGGGATGAATACGGCTATGACATAAATATAACAAAATAAATGGGTATTAAGCAAACAGGTTTCTTTCTTTCCCCCTCCCCCGCCTACCATAGTATCCTAGACTATAATACAGCAATTATAGCAACAACTAATCACCAAGTAGATAACTACCCCCCAACAATATGGAGTACTCCGTGCACCATTCCAAGTAATAAAAAACCTGTTATATTCCCCCTCCTCCCCCCACACACTACGAACAAGTACCTCTCACGCACATTCCCAATCAGGAATGAAAAAGTCTCTGCAGGGTCTGCTATCCATGTTTTTGGCAGACCAGCAAAACCCACATTCTTGGCGGGGTACAGGAATGTAATTGGACTGGTTTCAGTTGTTTGTTTGCTCTCCCTTCCCTCTCTCCAACTTTCCGATCAGTACCAAGTAGTAACTATTAATACCCTCCAACGGGATTATCGATGGACAACTTCGATCCCTATTATCTAATGGCATGGCATGACGCCACAACGAATGTGGCAAAGCAACCAACCAACTTATCAGTATATTTCCTGTTTTCGATCACATCTAGACTTCTAGTAGTAAACAAATAGCCGGATTCATCGGTTCGTAGTAGCTGAGTAGAATCATTCATCCCTCTGGGTGGGATTCTGTTAGGCGAGTGGCAAGTCTGAATTGAGGGTCAGTCACTGGGTCATGAGTCGGGTAGTAGATCTTGGCGGGACTTTTTTGTTTTGGGTTGGAACTAAACTACTATTAGACGAGAAGGATTCATCTACTAATTAGATCGATTGGGTAACTTAATCGGGATGGATCGATTTCGGGTGTGCCCTTTGTTCATCCCGTGTTTTCCATCTATCTCTTTCACTATCCGTGCTTTCCGATCTGAGACATATTGTTTGGTTTTTGTCATGGATAGATGGTTTGGTTTTGTGTTATGTGATGCTATACACCGAATGAATTTATGCACACAGACCCCCTCTCTCATCTGGATAGTAGATGGATGGATGATGATGATGATGGGCGTACCTTAACTCCGTACACATCATACAGTGTACATCGTGTCATTCTCCCAATTAACTAGTTAGTAGTATCTAGGATCGGATAGGGAACATGGAAATAAACTAGATATGCAACCCTCTCGTATTCCCACCTCCCATCTATCGTAATCATAATCATCTCCCCCTCCGCCCAACACTATCCTCCGCATAATACTCGATACTAACCTCCTCCCCCATCCCTCCGGCCGAATGACACACACACACAACACATCACAACACAACATGACACGACATCTAAGACATCACGCCAAGCCCAAGCCCCCGTTCAAACAGGGGGTGTATGGTATACTCCCGCCCCTCGTATTCGGCCTCGGCGAGTTCCCAACATGAATGACTGCGCTTGCGAAGCAATCCCCCCCCCGCCCGCTGCTTGCCCCCTTGTTCGTCCTGAATAGCCCCTGGTCTGATTATCAAATCCCGACAAACGGGAATAAGTCTAAGCCTCCGCATAGTCGGTGGTAATTACTCTTTGAGGTGGAGATTTGCTTCTTCTATATCACCCATTACTCTCATGACTTGTTACTACTGTCTTGGGTTTGTGTAATGTGAGAGGGAGGAACGGGCTTCGCCGTAGCAACCGTTACACACATACCTACCTGGCTATCTCATGCATGTTCAAGCTTTGCCAGACAGATACTCAGATAGCTGCCAGGGCTAGGGTCCAGGGGCGAATGTGTTGGCGAGGTGTGACTGGTTTCTTTTCGGCCGTGGGCAATTCGGCATGTACTTTGAGGGGAAGTTTTTCCATCTGAGGGTATCCCCGTTGGGGTCGGTGAGTAGCTAGCTAGCTAGTTAGTTAGTTCCGAGAGGCAAAAAAATCTACTCGAGACTGACTACCTGGGTCAGGTCATAAGATCCATCACATCAGAAGAGTGCTAATAGTCCGGAGGAAGTCTTCATTAGGTTAGAAGAATAGTAACTACTCGGTACTAGTCATGCATCGCATCAGCATCCCCGCCATGACAACAACGTGGTGAATTGGAGATGACTGGAATTCCATCCCCCTGCTGGCCAAGCCAAGCCCGCGGATTTTCCTCCGCCGCCAGTTCTGGCCAGACTCTTCAGACGGGCGAGTCAGGCTGCGGCTCTAGCGCTGCGGCCGAGACTTATACGGGAGAGAGAAAGAGTGTCCAATGCTAAAGAATTAGAAATAGACTAATGTTTGACGATGGCTTAGCGAGCCAGAAGAAGAAGACTCCGTGGTGATGCCAAGCCTGGTATCGAAAGTTACGCGGTATACCAGCGGGAGAGAATTTACAAACCGTGGTAAATATCATACCCGCGGTGACCGTAACGAGAAAAGGATCTAGCTGGATCTCGGGAGTTGCGGTTAGTGTCCGAAGGGCATCATGGCTGGATGGCTGGATGGATTGATTGGCAAGGTTCCGGCCCGATGGGAGGACAAGAAAGGCCAACGCACAGAATCAAGGGCCCCAAAGAAGCAAAAAGGGGGGGAGTTGAAGTCATTCCTATTACGCTATTCGCCGTTCTGCCTCCGTGAAGTTTCTTCACGGCGGGAAAGAAGGGGTGAAACTCTAAATCGGCAACGGCAAGTAAAGACGTCTCGCTTAGCCCGAGTTGGAATCATTGCCTTCTGCTTCTTGCCTCCAGCGTGTCGCCTAAACCCATCGTCTATTTTGGGGGCCAGCAGCGCACAAGAATAGCAACGCCAAGGGTTATACACACCCCCAGCGCCAAGTCGGCATAGTCGAGTCGACGAGCTTGTCCTCAATCCCAGGATCACCGTGTTTCAAGCTGTTCACTAGCTCCGAAGACGGAGGTTCCATGGTTGGAGGTGGAGATGGCTCTGGTGTTTCGAGCATCGAACAACCGTGGAAGCTCCTGAAGAAATCGCAATCTCTGGGTCCCTATTTTGTGGACTGAGCACGGTCGCATCTTGCGATCTCTGTTTATTTTTCCGCTTAACTCTTTTGGTAAGCGACCCAAGACTGAGTTAGACTGGAAATCAGTCACCAAGGCATCCGGCCGAACCCGGTTTGTCCACCAGTCGACGTGAAGCATCCAACGCCAAGTTGGTGAACGGACAAGACACCGGCGGCTTGGTGGTTTTGATTCTTGGCCAGTTAGGCCCCCGAATTTTCGCCTCTTTGTCTTCCGGCGTTTCCCCTCTCGTAGACTACCCATTCAATTTAGGGCAGGGTTGCACAGCTAATGAGCGTGGCGGGAACGATTTGCAGGGTCCAGCTGGTTCCCTTCAGGGTCTGACTCTCTCACCACCTCACCATACTGCCTATCATCATCACCAACTTGACGCTCCTTCAGTTTCGCTCATTTGGCAAGCTGTTTCGGACGGCGTGCTGCAATATGAACCGCAGATCCGTGTGACCAGTGAAGCTTCTTTGACTTCATCTTCAGGCAACTTCATTTCCTCAAGCTGCAATCGCCGTGGTTTTGATCAGGCAAGTCCCGGTCTAGACTCAACTGGTGACTGTTTCTCTGCATTGCGCTCCACCTTTTATTCCCCGTAGCCCCGGATCTTCTTGCTTCGTCGCGAGGCTTGTTCTTTTTTCGCGATTCCTCCTTTGCTCTCACTCGTGTGAAATCTGTTCTACGCGATGGAGCCTGCCAGTGAGGCCGCCCTCAAGGGCCCTCCCTCGCGGGGATGGAAGACATGGACATTCAAGAAGAAGCTCATCATCATTGGAGGAATCATCGGGTTTATCATCGCCCTGGGCATCGGTCTTGGAGTCGGACTGGGAGTTGGACTCGGCGGCGGAGGGGGAGGAGGAGAGGAAGAGGGAGGAGGCGGGGAGACGACGCCACCCAGTTCAGGCAATTACACCTCAGCCAAATGGCAGCCCGCCGTCGGCACCAGTTGGCAGATCGAGTTGCTCTATCCTCTGAATGACACCTCCGTCGACGTGGATGTCTACGACATTGATCTGTTCAACAACAACAAGTCTGTAATCAACGATCTGCAAAAAGCAGGCCGTAAAGTCATTTGCTACTTCTCCGCCGGCAGCTACGAGAACTGGCGCCCGGACAAGGACAAATTCAACTCGGATGATCTGGGTAAAAACCTGGACGGATGGCCCGGCGAGAAATGGATCAACATCAGCTCTCCTCGCATTCGAAAGATCATGCTAACCCGCCTGGACCTGGCTCAGAACAAGAGCTGCGACGGGGTAGACCCGGATAACGTCGACGGATACGACAATGATAACGGGCTGGATCTGACAGAGGCCGATTCGATCAGCTACATGAATTGGATGGCCAATGAAGCGCATGCGCGCAACATGTCCATCGGTCTGAAGAATGCGGGTTCCATCATCTCGTCAGTTATCAAGAACATGCAGTGGAGCGTCAACGAGCAATGCTCGCAGTACGACGAGTGCGATACCTACGCTGCCTTCACGGAGGCAGGGAAGCCAGTCTTCCACATCGAATACCCCAAGGGTGACGACACCAACAATGACTTGTCAGTGACCTCGAGTCAGAAGTCCAAGGCGTGCAACTTCACCGACTCGGGCAACTTCTCCACGGTGATCAAGAACATGGACCTGGACAATTGGATCGAGATGTGCTAGCCAGGGCCCGTTTTCAGATGGTTGGAATGTGAAGGGACAGGAATTCGGCACACCAGCAAGGGCGCAGGGGAGTTTTGATAGCGATATCTATTGTACTGTAGTTGCTACTATCTACTATGATGTAATCCAGCATTCATCTACAAAGTTTATGACTGATCGTCACTTGTCATATGCTGACGTCTTCCCCCTGGAATACCTACCAACTTGCTTGCTTTCTTCTGACAGCCCTCTTTTTTCCCCCGAGCAACATCATGCATGCGAACATAGCATGCCATGCCATTCCACATCCATCAGCCCGTCTCAGTGTGTAGTGCAACAATGATCGTATCATCTGGAAAACTCATCAGCCGACAAAGCCACTTAATTAAATTCAGACCAAGAAAGCGGACGCATTCCATTGCCTGGAATGAATGACACCATCCGAACCCCCAAACCTAGTTCAAGTCCTAGTCAAGACACCAGGATCTAACCCAGCCCAGCCCCAACCCTTGGCCATTGATCTCGCCATCGCACTGTCCAAAAAATCAGAGCACAAAGGGCCCTCCCCTCTTTCTTGTCTCACGGTCAAACTCACGGCGCCACGCCGAGTTGAACGAAGCGTGCATCTTAGTAGTCTAGGTCATCCACCGGCCCGGTAGTGGAGTAAAACAACAACAAAATATTAGCTAGTGAATAGTAAACAGGTGCAACGTCCACTCCAACCACCCCATGAGAACAGAGACGACTGAATTTTCCTTAGAAATAGAAAAAGAAAATGGGTCTTTCCCCTGGTGCCTGGTTATCCGATGAACCCGTGGACCAGACTTGACTTGACTTGACCTTAAAGGTGGCGTGAGGGCCGAAAACAGAGAATTGACCAGCAGCAGCACCCACTTAGCCTATACCCAAGACTAGCCAGATAGGAATGGTGTAAAAGGTGGTAGCGGGTTCCACGCTAGACAAACTAAACTACGGAGTAGATACTAGCACATGGATATATCTAATTCCAGATTAAGATTATTAATGTAATAAGCACTAGGCGATTTAGCTCCCTCGCTAGAATCTCTCACACGCGTGGTGGGGAAATAGAAATCTGAGCCAGAGAAGAGAGCGAATCGCCGACGCTAAATCCTAGGCTTTTAGGAACTGGATTTGTGTCCGAGTGTCCCGAGGCTTAGTATTGCTCGATACTGGTGGTGTCACTAATACGAAATATTTCAGTCTTGGTAATTTTCAAACTTACTGGTAATGAATGGGATCATTGAACGTCTGGATGTCGACAAGCTGAATGTATTGACTTTGACTTACTACCCCTCTCTTCATCCTTCGTTCAGAGAAATAGATTAATCATTGAAAGTTCTAACCTTGGGATCAGACTTATTAGGATCAGATATAGACACCACTACTACTAACTCAGACCGTCTTCTCGTAAGTCAAAACTAAACATTTAGCCGACTAAGAAAAAGTTACACGGAAGAGAACCCGATCGATAGATACTCAGCCAAAAGGCAAGGTATACAGCCAAGCAAATTACCTCCAAAAACAAAACAGAACAAAAACCAGCCAGGAAGAAAGAAAGAAAAAGGAAAAAAAAAAAAAGGTGATCTGAGCAGAGATAAAGTTCACCTTCACCCACTTAGCGCCAGGAAGAAGAAGAAAGGAATCACCTCCGACGGCATTGCTTTTCCCGACCAGCACCAGCACCACCAGCACCACCCGTTCATGTTCCTGAGAAAAGAGTGGAAAAGAGTAGTGATTGCCTTGTTCCTGAACCGGACTTTTTCCCACTTCCCACTTTCCACTCCACTTTAATCCCCATTCGGGCCAAAGATCGCCGGGTGGGCGGTGTGTTGTGGGGCCCAGCAAGAAAAACTCAGGAACCGCGAGAGCCACTTTTACAAAGTAGTTTAGTTCAGTTCAGTTCAGTCCAGTTCAACAAAGTTCCCTCTTGGTTAGCTGCTTTTTGTTAGTGGCTTCACACTTTCCCAAACCTTCCATGTTTTTGACGGCCCTTTCTCCCGTTAGTTAGTTCGCGCCGGAGGTGATTCCCTCCTTCGCATAGTTCATGCACTAATTGCCACCGGTGATTGACCTTTCCCGGCTAGTTAGTTGATTAGTGAGGGAAAGGGAGCAAACACACAAACGAACCAAAAGTCAATGCGCCCGGTTACAAATATCTGGATTCTAGATCTCTGATTTTGGTGTCCTTGAGTAAGGCGCTGATTCGAAGCGAGGGCGGATTTCAAATCTTGACCTTACTTACAGAATATTGGGCTGGGTGGGAAAGAGACAGAATGAGTGTGTGCGCTTGGCGTTCTGGTCACCGCTGCGCTTTGATTGGGATTGTTCTACGAACAGCTGCAGGCGGGCTGCATGCATGCATGCGTTAGTAGAGATACTAACCAGCCAGCTAGTCTAACTACTTGGTACTAATTGATTAGTTGTTGGGAAATGGACGGGCTCACTTGGAGTGTCAAGTTAGGAGGTAGGTATTAATAGAGTCAATGGTATAATGTGATACTCAGAATGTAGCATGTTGGGAAGTTAGATTATCTTAGGTTAGATAGTTGAATCAAGCCATCATTCATATTAATTGCATTAGACTTATGTCGCTCTATTATATGCTTATTCGATGACAGTGTGTCGGATAAATTAGCTACATAACAGTATGGATTGATCCCCTGCCCTAGGTGAACAGACAGTGGGGAGTAGGTAGTGTCGGAAATACATTTTAGAGAACCTACTAGTATACTCTGAGTACTAAGATAGTAATATCTCAAACAACCGCAGTTCCGCTTCCCTGATAGTCATCTTGATAGATGACCCTTAATCTCGGGAATCCTGACAGCTGAAGCAATAATAGTAATGTCGATTCTAGTTTTGGCTGTTCATGACTCTGATCATACTCCACTATCCCATTATCTTCTAACACAGTGCTAGCCCTGTTACTAGTATAGTGTAGTGATATATATTTCTCCGCGCGGGAAGAGACGGCAATGTACCATGAATGACCCGGTCATCCATCAATCATTCCTATGCAGTGAATCAACTCTCAAGATACACTGCATTCAATCCTTGTTCAATTGACTCGGTCCGCTTGTAGAAACTATCTCCGACCGATCATGATTGATCTAATGTTTGCTGTCGTGGGAGTTTGCGTTACCTGATGGAAGAGTCGAAGTTCGTGCTAGAGAAGAGGACTAGGGTGTTAGTGAGGGTTTAGTAACCCCACTAAAACTCAATGCTCATCGATCGACATGGCTGACAGACGATCGTCGAGCTTAGCCGAGATGGCATCTAATACTATCATATCTCCTTTGCGATTTATGTCTAGTTGTTTTGAGTTTGATTAGAGGGGTTGAAACGTAGTAGCTGGTTTTCCATGGACCATATACAGAGGAACAGACGATGATGACTTATGCGAAAGTGCGACAGTTTATGTAAGAAGTAGAGTTGCTATTAATGGGAAGGAAACTTAACTCCGGATGTGATGCAACAAGAGTCATCCTACAATATCACGAACTAACTAGGTACTGCTAACTAGTCCGTAGTGGGAAGTATCTGTGTAATGAGCAAAATGGTAATCCCGCCAAGCTCCTCACTACGTACCTATGCACGCAAGCCATCTCATCTCATTCCATCGGTCAACATAATATACAATCCATCAACACAGTGTAGTAATCATAAGAATAATCCTACCCAACCTCCTCTCTTCAAGCCCAACCGATCGATCCAAAAATAACCTAAACATAACATGTATGTCTGACAAGGGGGCAGGGGAGCGGGCAGGGGGTCAGTTTCCAAGACCCGCGAACGGAACATTTCTGGCCCCTCCCAGCGCGAGGAGATTCAGCCACAATATGCAGGGCACTTGATATGTATATGTATGTTATTATGCGGTGCACCCATGGCATCCACTTACATACATAGTAGAAGTAAATCCATCTGATTCCATTGAAACGAAGAATAGGACGGGAGTAATCCGACAACATACATACATACACACATACCTTACTTAGATAAGGTGTGACAGCAGGAAGTTATTTTTACTTCGTAAGTTTACGTGAAACAACACTATACTAGACAACATCCAGAAGCGGGACATACATACATCCTACGGAATCCGAAGTCCCGATGGATGGATGGATGGATCAAATGTCTGTCTGTGAGTGACTGATGCAAGTCTCGGAAAAACTCAATCAATACATCCATCCATCCATTCTTATTCCTTCCTCTTGATACTAATCACATACCTACAGTAGCATCCATCCAGCTGGCTGCTAACTAACTAACTAGGTAACTCTCTCATGATAGGTCCAATTATACCCCGTAAGTAAGTATCTACCTACCGAATACGAATGAAGGATGGGATGTAGGGTCTCCAAGCCCTACCATGCCATGCCATGTCATGCCGCTTGCCTCGAGGAGAAACCGATTCCTATTAGTAGATGATCCAAGACATGCAGCAAGTAGCCCGGGGTCTGATCATCTGTTGTTTACTCAGTTTTCTTTTTATTTCTTTTTACTGCGCGCATTTACTGGGACTACATCCCATCTCATGCCACTCTTCGTATAGAGAAGCACCTAATTGTATGATCAAATATGAGTGGTAAAACTTAATGATCTGAAGAGATTTGACATTCTCTGAACCTTACCTATCTATTTACCTAATTACACATCTTTATGCAATATGCAGTATGCACTGTACCTACTTCCCATTCAACAATCCCTCCCTTCAATCTAAACCAAACCAACAAAGGAAAAACAAAAGAAAAGAAAAATCCGCGATCTAACCGATGAGATCATCCATATCCACATACCTCTGACTCGTGGTTAGCCCTGTTTGACCATGATACAAAGTGGGCAATGGACAGACTTTTCTGGACTGGTTGGTCAGTGGGGCTGGGATTCGGTAGTGGCTCTGAATCGGATCGGGGCCGCGGAGAATGAAATTTACGGGTGGGTAACAGCCCCACTATGGATGTGTTGTAAAGAAAACTAGCCATGTACCTTGTTTGGAGAGGGGGGGAAATGGATGTATCTTTCCTTGGAAGATGGAAAACAGATACTTCTTAGGACTGGAAGTGTTGGGGCTAAATGGCTAGCTTCTTTGTTTCTGCCTAAGCTAAACCTCTGGAGGAATGCCTTGGAATTGGCGCAACAGATCCCGAATCCAGCTACACTGGTGTCCCTGTCTGCGGCGATTGGATTCTAGTTGGAGGGAAAAGCCTTATCATCCATTTCACTTGAATGATCAAATTGGTTTCGTCGTATACGTCATAAATACTGTATATACCAAGACATAAGATGCACCAGGCATCTGCCACCTCACGATCGAGCCATTAGTTCCACAAATTCCTCCCATTGGCCGCCAAAACTCGCATAATAATCTGTATCCAGATGAGTGATGAAAATCTCATCGGCGACCTTGCGCACTTGCTTCACCAGGTCTCGGAACTTGTGCCCTTCCACGCTGTCTGGCACCGAGTGGACCACGGCGCACAGCTGGCTGCGAGTGCTGTTCGGGATTTCCTGAAACAGCTTAGCCCCTTGACGCTCCAAGAACGTCTCGTAGGTTGCCTCAAAGACCACAGTCGAATCAGCCGTCGGCAAGTAGCGGGCATCAGGGATCGTGCCGGGATTATGGACGACCTAGTTGAGACAGTCTCGTTAGCATGGTAAACTCGGGCCAATGGTGGGCGTCCATCCAGATCTATCCGGGCGATCCAAACGACGGCTCTGGATGAGGATTGTCGGCAGGAACAGGAGCCAGAACAGAAGCATCCAAAAAAAGCAAAGAGAAAAAGAACCATGCGTTTGAGGGGGCAGCAAAAGGCAATGAGCGAGTGGGCGGAAATGCCAGCTGCCGAAATTTGGTAATGGTGTAAATTACCCGGCGTTACCCCTAGTAATGAAAGAATGAAAATACGGGAGAGACTTCTGCACGTACAAAATGGTCCGGACCCAGGCCAGTGGTTGTCTTCACGACAGCAGTCAGATCTTGGAGGTAGGCCAAGGTATTGCTTTCGTATTGCTGGGGGGTTTCGTCGAAAAATATACCCCGAACCGCTAGATTGGGGTTCGAACTGTTGGTCGGCCACGCCGCATAGGTCTCAATGTCCCGCCGCACCAACGAGAAGTTGCGCTGCCCGTACGTGGTAGCAACATAGCCTAGGAGGCGGACGTTGCCATAAGACGCCAGCTTGGGTATCTCTCGTGTGTAATTTCCATCGGGCAAGGCGTTGGGCCCTGGACCACTACCAGGATTGACCACGACGGTGAAATTGACGTCGGGATGAGAAGAGATCCTGTGGCGTTCAGCTGCGTCCTTCGTACATCAGGGTTACTTGTATCGTGCCGCGGGACATCCGGTGGCTGACAGATAGCGTGGGCATGGACTGGAGTACAATGTGGTTGGCGGGGGGAAGGGGAAGGGGGAGGGGGGTTAACATTTGGCGAGGGCTTGTTGAGATATGGAGAAGGGGATAACAAAAGGAAAAAAGCACCTACACCTTTTCTAAGGGATCCCATGCTCCCGGGGCAGGGTAGACGTAGAGCGGTACGAAAATTGATGCTTTAGGGCCCATGGTGAATTTGTGTAGGGTCAACACTACTGCTGGTGGTATGACGACGGCGAGAAGGGCAATGAATACAAGGATTGCCAGAATGAGTCGCGAGCGCCGGCTTTGCAGGCAGCGCCGGTCTCTCACGTGTTCACCCTGCCCCATTCTGCTGGCTTTGAGAAGCTAACGATGTAATTTGAAACCGTGCGCGCCAAAAATCGGGGGTCGAAATCGAAACGAGCTAGCAAGTGGGCTTCCTCTGGCCATAGCGGATTTGGGCCAGAGTCGGCCGGGAGACTAACAATTAAGTATTCATCAGCGTTTCCAAACTTGTTCGCTGTTGGATAAAGCGAGGTTAAACAATTGTAAGGAGACCAGTGGGAAACCATAAAAAAAATAAAAAGTCAAGAGTATGGATGCGGCGCGCCCAAAATAGAGCGGGGCAGGGTTTCGACCATGCATCAGGTCTCGGATTAGCTGGAGGAGCAATTTCTCTTTTCCCTGGTCGAGAGCGCCTTTTCGTACCAATTGTACATCCTGCAGCTCCAGTGGAGGCGACCAGAGTTCGCTCGATGCCTACCCCCCAGCGGAGGCGAATCCGTTTTCGATGACCCAGTAAGCCTTCTAGGCCCCGTTCTCATACCGAAGCAGCAACCGCTGACAACATCGACCACTCACTTTATATTTGCTTTTTCTCCTTCTAGTTTCGCTCGTTTCTTTTTCCATTCTCTCATTTTCCCCTATACCGTTTTGTCTTTTTCCGAAGCCAGCCTTCCATATAATTCTTTTTGGTCGCCAATTTTGCAATTTACTGCGTCCATTCGCTTGTTCTGGTTATGATTCGTTGTAAATAAGCAAGTCACGGATCACGATATCTTCGCCTGACCTAGCGGGCCAGAGACAGCGGTTACATCGGCGCGCAAGTGGGAGGGCCTGTTGCTCGTTTTGAGGAAAATATAAGATTTGGGAAACTCCTTTCCTTGGGTTATCCCGTCCAGAGTCAAGTCACCTGCGGTCGTTAAATTCTCGTTGGAGAATAAATCTTTCTGTCCTTTCCTTGTTTTTGTTTGTCCAAGTGATTCCTGTCCGCATTGCCCCCCAACGGTGCCTCATCCTTCGACCCTATCAGTTATGGAGAGCCCTCGACAGTCCGATGCAAGCACTCCTGTGGAGCCTTGCTCCCCTGGTTGCGTTGACACGCCGGCGACGCAATCTTCCGTGTTGTTTGATGGCAACCTTGAAGAGTTGCTGCGCAACTTTCCCCTCGATCAGTACATCCTCGTCACAGGGGGTCTCGGGTTCATCGGCAGTCACACAACATTGGAGCTACTCAAAGCCGGCTATAATGTAATTGTGATCGACAATCTCAGCAACTCTTTCCAGAGCGTCTTCGACCGCATCAGACAACTGGCCGCAAAGTACCATGACCAGGAGGGGACATGCATGCCGTCATTGCAGCTCCACGCCCATGATTTCCGGGATATTGCTGCTCTTAGAGGCCTTCTTGAGCAGTATCAGATCCAATCCAGATGGGGAACTCCCAAGTCCAGAATTGGTGGCGTCATCCACTTTGCTGCTTATAAGGCTGTGGAAGAGAGTATCAGGAACCCCTTGAAGTATTACGCGAACAATGTTGGTGGTCTTATCGACTTTGCCACAACTTTGGGAGAATTTGGAATTAAAACATTCATTTTCTCCTCCTCCGCCACGGTGTACGGAACCTTGGCAACTTCGGGTCTTCCCTTAAAGGAAGAACTCTGTGTCCATAAAGAAGAGGTCTACAGTGACCAAGACGGTCTGGAACAGACCGTTAAACCTGGCTGCACGGGTATTACGAACCCGTATGGGCGCACCAAATGGATCTGCGAAGCGATATTAGCGGACCTTGCGGCTTCTGATCCAGAATGGACCATTGTTGCCCTACGCTATTTCAACCCTATAGGATGTGACGAATCTGGCCTTCTGGGAGAGGATCCCAGGCAGACGCCCACGAACCTTCTCCCGGTTGTGGTAAAAGTCATGACCGGACAGTATAAGGAGCTGCAGATGTTTGGCACGGACTGGGACACTGAGGATGGCACTGCAGTTCGCGATTTCATCCATGTCACCGATCTTGCTAGGGGACATATTGCTGCGCTCAACGCCGCCAATGGTGGAAAGCTGGTTGAAAACTTCCGTACCTTCAACCTGGGCACCGGACGGGGCCACTCTGTGATGGAGGTGGTCAACACAATGGAAGCAGTGTCTTCCAAACCTATTCCCAGAAAAGCTGCAGGTCGTCGCGCTGGAGATGTTGGCTCTTGTGTCGCTGTCGCCACAAGATCCCAGGACGAGCTCGAATGGAAGACCGAGAAATCCCTGAAGGATGCTTGCGTGAGCCTATGCAATTTCCTCAATGTCAGCGGCCTGTCCTCTTAGGCCGTAATGCTTTTTCTTGTTCATAACTGGCGCTTGGCGTGACTATATTATCTTTCTGTGTCTGTTCCCCTTTGCCCAGAGGGAGCTCAAAAGCGGGCTCCAGTCCCTGATTTCTTTATTTTTTCTTTTATATCCATTTCGCTTGTGTTGCATTTTCGAATCTCGGCAACTTCATGGGACCCTATGTTTTTGCATGATAGAGTCGGATCCCCCACTTATGTCCATCCTCATAATGCATAGTGTATGTTTCTTTGTACAATCTGTTGGCTCATGCTGAGGCCTCTCATTATTTTTCTAATGAAAGCTATCGATGTCATTTATGTTAGTCGATTCTGTGGAAGCATCTCAGGTGTTGCGCGTCAGATAGCCTCACTCAACGTAGGTTGATCGAAAACCGTCACTTGTATGAGCGGGTTTCAGAAGGCTTGGAGCATGGACGAGCTTTCACTTCAAACAGAGATAAGATGATACTGTTTGAGATGGACAATATGTAGAAAAGCTCAAGAGTTCACTAGTATGAGGTCTAAGAAGTAAGAGGCGGGGGAGTGTCGAAAGTAAGATCAAGAAAGAAGGCGTCCCGGAGGAGGCTTAGTCACGCTGGCCATCTTACCCCTCTGCAACTCATCAGCAATCCAAGTTTTTGTCTGTCGATATATCATCCATCTAGGTAGTAATGGAGACCAGAAAGATTCGCAAGAGCCAACCCAAAAGTTGCCGGTGTTTAGAAGCGAAATATCCCGCATGGAGGGTCATATGGGCAGAGAGATCGGAGACAACTAGCGCTGATAAGAAGTTCGAACCAGTCGCGAACACCCTGTGAGACAAGCGATATCTGGATGCTTGAGTGACTGCACAGCTTGCCTTAGTTTACTCTGCAGCCACCAGTAGCATGCTTTATTTGATGTGTGCACAGACGTTGACCTAGCGCCACTGTTTGAAGGTCAGTCTTCATGCGTGAACTTGTGGAATGACACGAGCTTTCTAAAAGCAAACCGATGATGTACCTGCTACTGCGGTGCTCTGTGAGTCTGGGATTCTTTGCGTCTCCAGTAACCGGGGTATACTTCTGCCTGTGGGGTAGGCAGCGGAATTAGCGCCAATATCGAAATATATCTGATGAACAGTATAGAGCAGGGTTGTATCATGTACTTGCTACAACATATACTGCGATGGTCAAACAAAGTTTTGCAACAGGCCTTCATAGGCTTGGCCTTTGACTCGGATTGTGGGATGTTGATGGAAGGCTGTTGATTCGGTATTTCTATGATTGGATATGCGACTTACAATGGGGGATGTAGTACGTAACAGGTAGGACCTGCTGTGTCAGTCCAGTACACATGCATGAAGATATATTCCATGCGAGGTGCGACATACGGCCGAGCATCATGCCTTATAGTTGCTGACTGCCTAGCCTGGTGGTTAATTCTAAATATATACATTCATGCCGGAGCAAGCATGAATTTGATATTTTAAATCAGTTTTAGTATCCTCACGGCAAAAAAGGCAGACATGAGGGTTATCTTGAATTGATATACTACTGTTCATCATCGAAGCCAGGAAGCCCAGGTAATACATCAAATGTATAGAGGTCTTGAGTGCCTTTGGAAGCGGAGGGTTGAAGATAGAAGGGCCAGAAAAGAAGTGTGGGACATATTAATGGTAAATTTGTGTACTGTAAGGCATCAATTTCCAAGATTTGATGGGTGGCAATGTATCTAAAGCATTGCGTAGCCATGTTAGGCAACTTAAGAAGTTGAGAAATATATTGATGCCTTGCCAGAGTTGGCGCGTGGATTGCACCATAACACGCAGACAGAAGGCCCCAAAGTTGCCAATTGCCAGCCACAAAAGGAGTTAAGACAGAAATGCTCTAGAAATCCGAGGAATAGTATTGTAAGTATAACTAGACTGAGCTTGTTTCCCAAACGGGTAATCGTGAGCTATTCCCATTGAACACTTGTTGCCTCAGGCTCCAACTGTAAAAGATCATAGCACGTGACCAAGACAATTGTGAACAGGTACAAGAGATATACAAAGTATAAGACGCTTGAGTTATACGAGAATAGCTCTCAGTTAGAACATATGACCTTTACTTGAGGTCAGGCACTCTTCAATAGTAACTGTTTGGAGACATTCTCGATGTGATTGTCTCTCAGCATGTCAGAATCACATGACCTGCATTTATAACCGGAGCACGCACAGTTGCATCGGCGACACTCTTGACTTCAAGGGTACACCATCCAAATTTAATTGTTATTCAGATCTTGCAACCTATCTGATCTAGTCATTGCCAAAGAAAGACAGAAGACAGGAGACCGTTTGGACGTGCCTAGTCTTTGGCGTGCGGACGTAAGCACGTGACTGGACCTCCGGCTTGGCATCAAATTCCCGCCGCAGTTTTCTCGACATCTGCTCCGCGTCGGCCACCATATTCTAATCTCCAGCACTACGCTAATCAAAAAAGCTGGCTGGGACTTGATCGTGGCAGTCATTTCAATCATTTCAATTATACCCCTTGTTTTCCACAAATAACATAAGCCACGCCACAATGATCTGCCAACGGTGCCGGACCGGTATCTTGTCCCGGCTACAGCAGCCCCAGACCGTTACGCTGTCTATCCCGTCACGCGCACGCCAATTCCCCATTCAGCGAAGCCAATTCCGCAACTACAGTGATGGAAAGCCTTCTGTGTCGGCCACACCTCCTCCTCCCGCCCCCCGTCAGCCTGCCGGTGCCGATATCACGATCCCGTCGGCCGTGTCGTCCGCCACCCCTGGCGTGTCCCAACCATTGAGCACCCCGGAGGGTGTCCACGTTGATGTCAACCCCGAGAAGCCCAAGAAGGCTGCTGTGGAACGTCCCCCTAGCTCCTGCGCTGCTGGCCAGAAGATGAACGGACTCAACTACTTCAAGAACAAGCCTGACGTTGTGGCTCTGGAGGATTCGGAGTACCCCGAATGGCTGTGGTCGTTGTTGGACGACTCCAAGAAGAACAAGACCGCAACGGGCGGTGTTGATCCCAGCAGTATGGAACCTATATTTGATAGAGTTGTGTCACCGTTGTGTAATGGTCCGCTAACCCTCTTTTCCTCTAGCTCTGAACAAGAAGCAGCGCAAGCGCTACGAGAAGAAGATGGCTGCCCGTGCCGCAACCCTGCCCCCCCAGATCCCGATCCATCATCACGCTACCGATATTACCCCTGCCGCATACAACGCGGAAGCTGTGCCCGCGGATCTGCTCGAAGCCGCTGCCGAGAGTCTCGACAAGCGTACCGAAATCAGGCGGAGTGCCAGAGAGGCGCGGAGAAAGGGCATTCGGGAGGACAACTTCTTGCGCGGTCTCTAAGATTTATTTTGCAACTTGCGAGCTGCTTGTGGGGAGGCTTTTGCTGGATGGGGATGCAACATGCTAGCTGTGTACAGTGGGGGTGGCTGGCAAGTGTAGAAATTGTTTTGTGGGATATGTTCAATGTATTCTATGCGACTTGTACTCATATTGATTCACCAGATTAGGCGCTGAATGGACTTTACTTTCGACATACAAGTGGTACTTACCTTTTAGTCTTTCTTATCTCAACCATCGATTTCACCAGTTTATGCTTAATTCAGATTTCCGCAATAACTAGCCTGTCAGCAGAGTCGCGTACGAATTCATCGTTCTGAATATGTCCATATTTGACCTCTTGAGGAAAATCACGAATGCGGTTCCCTGTCCCTGAAGCATGTGTCCCCTAGTTCGTTCCAGAGTCGTAGAGCGAGCTTTTGTAAGATGCCACCCAAAGCGAACGGAATCCAGAGTCCTTCCGGCGCTCGATGAGCCTTGATCCAAAGATGTAAATTGCTGGGACATATTCCTCCGTCGGCTGCCCTAGCAGACGTGATAGATCGTCCTCGGTAAATGGTCAGCGCTTTGACACTAATAGAAGGTGGTTCCTAGCATTCTCGCCCGAGTTTCGAGAACTCAACGCCGATAGCGGCCAGCCGTAGTAGAGCATAACAGGCATACTCAGATGTTAGGGGCTCAGTAGAGCTGACTATGTAGTTGTGAGTGCGAAAAAGTTGTTGGGATAAGTATTTGGTATCTGTGTCTGTGATAAAAATCTGACCCATCAGTAAGTTGTGGCATATCCGGACCACGGTCGCATGTATTGCAGCTTATCCGGAAGCGGGGTGGGGGAATTCGATCTCAGCCTTATGGACTGTGGAGATCCAGATGCACCCGTTGCTTAGATCCGATCTTGTTCAGGGGACAAGCTTAATCGATCCTCTTCCTCATCAAGTTGACTGTTCGGACAATTGTTGAAGTCGAAAGATATCTGGCCCGGACGGAAATAGTAACCTCTGGTACCTGAGGCAAGATTGTGATGACATCACCGATCCATGGATTGGAGATTCACGAATGGCTTTGTGTTCCGGCGTGACGCAGCTTAGCTTTCATCGCTGCCCAGCGTCAAATTTGTTCCTCGGTAATGATTGCCTAATTACTTCTCAGAGATGTCCACGGCGAATGGCTACGAGAGATCAATCTGGTGTCTTGAGCTCCAGTCCATTCCTCATTGCCAACAAGGCCTGCCCCCGCAGTGAAATCCCTCATCTTTCTAGCACTCATCACGGGAGACTACGAGTTAGTATGGCTGGAAACCCCTGAATCTGAAAAGGCCAGGATCGATCTCAGCCTCTCACTCTCCACCAGCGCAGCAGCCTATGAAGTGTTGCAGATGCTACAGTCACCGCCAACGAGCCCGTCAAAGTGTCCACGCGGATGTGGAGCAGGTAAAACTCAGCGGACAACGAAACAACACCTCTCTTCCCCTTCTCCATCTTTCTTTCTTCCACTTCGTTATCCTTTATCATCGCTGCTACTTATCCGGAGACTAAACCTTTCATATTTGTCCATATTAAGTCTCCCTCTCCACCCATTTCCGGCTGTGCCCAACGCCTAGACTACTATCCCGAGGACAGCTGGAATTGTTCTCCGATCCCCCCTGAACCCGCGTCACAGCCGGTGTCGATCATCAGGCCCCTCCATAATCGTCATCCCCCCCACCGGCAAGTAACTTGGCCAGTCGAGACATCCTTGCTGTCTTCTATTTCAACTACCCATACTTGTCACTCAACTTTGTTCTGTGAAGCACACACCATACTATTTAGGAACCATGGACGAACTCACTACCCAGACGAGTCGCATCACCATGGACTCTTCACTGTCTAATGCGCAGAAGATAACACTACCATTTGCACCGTCGATGCTCAACTATATCGACAAGATCTACAGCTCGTTGACTTCGATGAACCAGCCCAATTTCTTGACTGATGTCCAACGTGAACCAAAGGGCCAGGAGTCAACCAACAAAGAGCACCCAGCTCCACTGGCTACCCTAGCTGCGTTCTACGAGTACTTGGCAAGCCCAGAGGCTTCTGCAATGCGAGCTGCTACTCAGATGGACCTCTCAGCGCCCATTACGGATTATTTTATCTCCACTAGTCACAATACGTACTTGACCGGAAACCAGCTGTACAGTGAATCTAAAGCAAGTGCTTATACCAATGTATGTTCCTCTTTGGCCACCACTTACTAGAGGAGGCATCGACATCTTGGAGGTGTGGTGCAGTATGACGGGGATTGTTCATCGGTACTGGAATGTGTGGGAAGCAGGAAGATGTTGCAACAAGCTTGCTCAGGTCTCATGGCTCTGTTGTACTCAACTCTCCCGTCGATGACTCTTCTAGTTTCTATGTCTTTGTGTTAACAGCGGCTGATATTCTCAGGTCCTACTTAGTGGCTGCAGATCCGTCGAGATTGACGTTTGGGATGGAAAAGCGGAGGGTGAAAGCTCCCAAGAAACTGGCGAGAGCAGCGCCACTAGCGGCAGCAACCCGAGCTCCGATGATGAGAAGATCAGCTCCTGTAAACCCCGTCGCGGGTCTAAAAGGGAAAAATTGAAGAAGATGACGGAGAACCATCGTCATCTGCGTGCCCTCTCCCAAGAGGTTGGCAAATTGGAAGGCTTCCTCGGACATCACAAGCCATCCACGAGTAGCGGAAGCTCTGGTGAAAGCAAGGCGTCTGGTAGCGCGATTCCGGTTCCTGGTAAACCAGAACCGCGGGTGTTGCATGGCCATACGCTTACTAGGGAGACGAGCTTTCGCGAAGTCTGCTATGCGATTCGAGACAGCGCATTTGTTGCAAGCGACCTTCCAGTCATTGTTAGTCTGGAAGTCCATACCTGCCTGGAACAGCAGCAGACGATGGTTGAGATCATGGAAGAAGCATGGAAGGGGATGTTGGTTGAGGTGACACCTGAACTTGAAGCCGGGACAGTTCCGCCGCCGCCTCTAGCGGACTTGAAGAGAAAGATCCTGATCAAGGTGAAGCATGTCGAATCCGTCGACGAAGGCGGTGACCGTGAGGCAAAGGAGAAGGCAGTTTATACCCAGCACATGGAAGCTTTGAAGCAACAGAAAAATCCATCAAATTCGGTCGAGGCTTCCAAGGGTCCCGAGTCTCCCGAGTCTCCCACTGCAGCTCCGCACAAGCCCTCTAAGATCTTGCAGGCGCTCAGTAAACTGGCCGTGTTTACGAAGGGGTTCCACTTTAGCAATTTTGCACAGCCGGGTATGTTATAATGCAAATGATACTTTCTAACTAGTAATGGACTACATCGCTGACTGAAATACAACAGAGGCCAAAGTTCCCAGCCATGTGTTCTCGTTATCCGAGAAGGCCGTGCGGGAAGCACATGCCACCGATGGAGACGCGTTGTTTGAGCACAACCGGCACTTCTTCATGCGCGTCTACCCCAATGGCTTGCGAGTCGACTCCTCCAACATGGACCCGACCTTCTTCTGGCGGCGTGGTGCTCAGATGGTCGCTTTGAATTGGCAGAACTTCGACAAAGCAATGACGCTCAATGCAGGAATGTTCGCAGGGGAACAAGGTTGGGTTCTCAAGCCCCCAGGATATCGCAGCTCCGATGCACAGCCCGGAATTATTGAGCCTCGTCGACTGGATCTGACCATTGAATTTCTTGCCGGCCAAAACATCCCACTGCCCCCGGGCCACACCAATGAAAACAAATTCTACCCCTTTGTAACTTGTCTTCTGCACGTGGAAACTCCGGATGACAGTTTCGCAGCAGCAGATGACGACACCGAATCCGAAAAGACTGGATATAAGCATTGCACGAAGAGTGTTACAGGAGTGAACCCCGATTTCGGCGGACAGAAGATGGAGTTTGCGACCGTGTCGGGCTTCCTCGATGAATTGACATTTGTTCGGTAAGCCACCCTTTCATGAAACAAAAAACCAGCTGTAGGTGCATTTGCTAAACGCAAACAGGTTCAAAATCAAGGACAACGAATGGATGCACAACGCGCTGGCCGCATGGGCGTGCATTCGACTAGATCGACTGCAAGAAGGTTATCGGATCATTCACCTGAATGACAGTACTGGGGCGCCGACAGAGGGAGCTCTTCTCGTACATATCACGAAGACGTACAGCTAAAAGCACCACGTATGAGTGGTATAGAGAGAAGACCCCATCTCGTTCATATTCGAGCGTGTTAGCAGTGTTTTACACGACGTATAGCCATACTTAGGGGCAGTATCTTTCTTTCTTTCTGTGTATTTAGATATTCAAGCCGAGACAAGACTTTAGACTGAAATCCTATTCCATTCGAGATGGTGACTAGACACTAAGGGACCTTCATCGTGACATAAAACATTCCTTTTCCAATCCAGACATCAAAAACAACCTTAATAAACTAAGCGCGGTATACAGTACAAAAAAGTATACACTAATTCCTCCTTACAGTCCAAAATAACCCTCAGACCCCTGACACACGACACACGACACATGTCCAACCTTAAATCCCCAGGCCAAGAAAATCCGGGGTAAAAAAAAGGAAAAAGTCCCACCAACCCCAAATAGGCAACTCTACGCGCTGCGAAGTGAGTATTTACCCCGCGCTTGCGGTTCCTGTTCCCGGATGCGGGCGGACCTGAACCTGTCCTGACAGCCATCGGTATCATCATTCTTTGCTGTTTTCTGTTCTCAGGAACAACTAACACATCATTTGTTATTTTTTAGGATATATTGGATCTTATCTTATCTCTCTCTCTCTTTATTATTCTATTCATTGTATGTTATGATTGTTGATGGATAATGGGGGATACATCTATTTCTATTTCTTCTGTTGATGAGAACGATAAAGCCAACAGCAATGGTCATGGCAATGAGAAGGAAACATTAGCAGGGAAACGAACGCATGATGACAGGCCTACGAAGTTCACTCGTTGTCGGACGGGGTGTTTGCGGTGTAGGACTAGGAGGAGAAAGTGTATGGTTTTCTTTACGGCAACACCCGTTGATGAGGATTGTGGATGATATTAATATGGAATAGGCGATGAAACGAAGCCCCGGTGTCGGAACTGTATCGAGAAGAATCTGGTTTGTCGCTATGGGGTACAGGTGACGTTTTTACCGAAGAATACCTTCACCGTTGCGGAGGGGGAGCTGTGCACGAGTACGAATACGAAGTCGATAGGGACCGGAGAGAAGGTTGTGCGAAGACAAGAGCGTTCGAGGAAGGGACGGTGGCGGTGGGTTAAGGTTAGTGGAACAAATCATTGTTTTCACGTCTATGATACACTGACGAGGTGACTATTTTAGTTTGTGAATGAAGATCCAACGGTGGGTGGGGGTGATGCTGTAGATGATGATAGTTTAAGTGATTACGCGAGGGCCTCAGGAGATGAGACTGTGATGGCTCCATCTAGACCTAGTTCTGAGGCTGATAAAGGTGATGGCCTGCATGGCTCTCCTGACATGCCCACTTCATTGTTTGGCAATGCGGCCTTCAGCGACAGGGACAAATCTGCCGTTCATGGGCTTCTTGCATTGGGGACAGGCGATGGTGTCAATAACCATAGGGGTGCTCCAGATGAAGGATGTGAGAAGACGAGTTCTGAACTTGTCTCGTCAGAGTTAGTGCCTAGGACTCCTGTCGTGCTGAAGCACGCCCCCGGTGTAGTGGGTGCTTCCGAGGGGCTGCCTTCGAGCATAAGTGCCAAGTCATTGACAGATACGGCAAAGCTGAAGCTTTTATGTCATTATCGCTACCATGTAGCACCATGGGTGAGTATACTGCAGTATAGTGGAGCTTAAGTCTGACGGATTGCTTGCAGCTTGATGTTTGCGATCTCAGTCATCCATTCGGAATCACTGCTGTTCAGATGGCACTCAGCTCGGAACCGCTCATGACAGCTCTGCTGGATCTCTCCAATGCCTGCGTTATACAGAAGGACATGAGGCATCGGCGAATGCCTCGTTATAGCCATGCAGATCTGTGCACCAATCCACTGTGGTCAAACTCTAGCTCCACGTTCACTGTCGAAAATGCTTTGACGACGGTGCTAGAAGAGACAAGATGGCTTGTCGCCGATATCGCTCAGACTTGGAAGAACGTACAGAACTTCAAATCTCGTAAGTTCGAGTCATTGGCTCATCAAGCACTGGATTCGGGTATCGCATCCTCTATCTACTGGATGTTCTTCCGCTTAGGTTCGTTTCACAAGTCGTCCACATATGGGTGCGCCATTCTGACTGAACCAGACCTGAGTGCAGCGCTCGCAAACGACAGACCAATCCAGATACAACTTCCGATGTTCCCAGTACCTAGTTTACTGATCTTGTCGAGCATAGAGGAGGTCCGGCAAAGGACTCGAGCGTATGCCCATGTCCTCCTCTGGCTATGTGGAAAAGCTTTGCGAGTATATCACCAGCAGTCCAGCTCCGACCAATTTGCAGCTCCACAGCAACAGCTGGATAGCTGGCTCGATGTATTTGACGCGATTGAGCAGTGGTACCATCTGCGGCCACACGAATTCCAACCGATGGTGGATTTGGGTATTGACGATCAACTCCCCCGGGCCGAAAGTGGCTTTCCGCTGCTACTGTTCGCAAACGGGACGGGTGCCTTTAGCAATCAGTTGTACCATACTGCCATGCTGCTTTTGCTGCAGTGTAAGCCACGCACAGCGCTATTAGGCTTGCAATCAATAACTCTGTCGCCGCTGTGGCATTCGCAGTGTATCTGTGGCATTGCACTGAATAATGACCGCCGGGAATCCTGGGACCCCTGCCTGATAGCCTCATTCCTGGTGGCTGCCAGAAGAATGACACATGAATCCCAGCAACAGGAAATCTTGGAAGGCTTTGAACGCGTGCGTGATATCACGGGGTGGGATTTGGGTGATTATATGACGCAACTTCGAGAGGATTGGTCATTCCTGGATGGTTTTTAGCATGCAGGCTCATGTTCCTCTCATTCCGGAACAACCCCAGGCAACCTCCAGATCCCGAATCCGCCAACATGTTCCCCAGCCAGTTTCGGCCTCGATGCTTTGAATCAGCCTGATAATCTCTTCATGCTCCGAGGCGTGACTGAATAGTTGTCCGGCAATCCACAGTGGTTGGATAGAGTTGTTCAAGCACCCTTGGTGTGGGTTTGCCAGGGAAATGCCACATATTCGGCGAGCATGCCATAGAGGAAACAAAGTTGGCGACCTGGGAAGCCGGATTTCCTTGGGCATCATCTTCAGTAACAGTATGCATGCCGTGTGGTACAGTTGGTTTGACGAGATAGCAGCCCAGTGGACGAACAGGATGTGAGGAAAGGGCTTGCGGTTGACTGTCTGCACTGGAAGAAGCTCGCTGGGACGCTCGGAAAACCAGCATTGTAGGTCATTCCAGAGACTGAGCCATCGTGTGCGGAACCTATCCGGAGTACACCCATTGTCTTCACCTAGTTCCACAAACTTTGTACGGTCGGACACCAGCTCGGTCGCTTTCACGCACAAATACACGGCATAATTTGCATGCATATCTGGCGACTTGACACTCTGGAACAGCTCATGCGCGTCCTCTGTCCGATAGCCTTCAGGAAGCCATTTAGAGGGATGCAGAAGCGTGGTCTGTGTTCCATCTGAAATAAGCGCACCGCACAAATCTGCTTCAGTCAGAATCAATTGAAATAATGCAGTAACAAGGCACAACGTATAGAAGAAAGGGATATAATGCAGCTCTAGACTCACCCATTCTAGCGTAGCACCAGAACACTGCCTGCAGAATTCCCTGGCTGAAGCCATGAATACCAAACGCATCAAACAAGGCCGCGCAGCCCTCAAGATGGCGACGCCAATCTTGGGCACGAGCAGACATCATTTCCAAGCAACAGAGAAGCACACATGCCGCTACGATCTTCGGGTCACGTAGTTGAAGAAGTGGACTTAGCCGTCGGATGGCCTCTTGGTACAGTTCGAGGCTATCAAACCAATTTCGAACCCCATTTTTGCGTTCGATCTGACGGGCAGAAATGGCAAGCATGGCATATGAGAGAGCAGGGAAGGAGCGAGCCAGCACAGGCACTTGTTGGCGAAAGGTGCACTGAGAGTCGAACATGTCCAGCTAATGACCATTTAGTCTCCGCATGGGTCGGAATAGACATCTTACACATACCCAAGGTGCTACCTCAGCCACATAATTTTTCAGATATTCAATACGCCTCCGGCTCGACAGAGAAGATTGCAAGAGCTCTCCTCTTCGTTCTGGCTGGTGTGTTTTTGAGCGTGGTAATTTTTCGGCTATTTCGAACCTTCCCACAGTGTCTGGACTGGATACCCGTGTTGGAGCATTCGAATTGGCGAGGGAGAAGAGTATGCATCGCAGCTCTTCCTGAGATGCTAGGTAACCTGGATCCTGTGAGAAGCCATCCTGGGTCCAGCTAGCTGCTGGCGACTGGAAAGGGTCACTGTTAATAGCTAATGCCGGTGAGTTGTGCGGATCAGTGTAGTAGTCTGTCAGATGATAAGGACTCTGCAGTTGATCCCATGCTGGCGATTCTGAATCGTTGTCTGCAGTTACTGGATCAGGTTGGTCTTGTATAGAACTGATTCGCGCATGTTTCCGGGGTGGTTCACTGAACGTGGTCTCGTCCATGCCGACGATGCTGAAGCATAGGAAACAACCGAGACGATCAATACTAGAGTGCAAACATCGTGAGCAAGCGGTTGTTTACAGGCAGATGGAAGGTTTTAGCTTTCACTTACTGAGGCGGACAGTCTGTCAACCAGCCTGTCTGATGCTACTGGTGAGGCCCAATCTCCATCGGGTTAGCGAGAGCTCCAAGACCAAGAACAATCTAAGCAATAAGTCTCTCCTGATTCTCCAGCGAGTTGTCAAAGAGGCGATTAGACTATGAAGAAAGGAACCGGCAGAAGCGAAGAGCGACAGCCGAAGCGCAGCTCCGCAGGGTCTCCAAAACGGGTTTAGCGGGATGCGGGGTAGCATCCTGAAGATGGAGATGAAAGTGACACGAAGTCTTCTATATAGCGACAAGCAATGCCAGTGACTAACATCCCTTATATTTGAAGACGTTGGAGATACTTTGGGTGAATTCTTCTGAGGCACACAGTATCCGCCACAATCAATTGAATAATATTCGCACCAAAACATGACGGATTCGGTGACTGAGCAAAACAAAGCATGTTCCAATACCATGGCATATACACAACGAACGTAGTAGATGTACGCCATGAGAAAGTAGAAAAGCTTGAAGAGCCACCAAATCTATAGAAACAAGCCTTGAGCACGTGCAGATATCCAGCATCCAACATTAAGGACAGTGGCTCAACCTACCAAGTCCGTCCACAACTGACCCAGGCTCAATTGAAGGCCTCACATTCCAAAACCCATTATACATTTCCAAAACAATGCTACTCAAAGATAGAGAATCTAGCCCAGCGCAGCTGTATATCACGAAATCTTCCATTACCACCTATATACCCCCTATAAAACGCGTACTATTCATCCAACACACTCCCGGCCCTCGTCACCCCATCCCAACTTCCACCCATCCACTCACCCACAGACCACCAGAATGACGTCTACAATGCCCCCAATTCCACCCTCGGCAACCCCAAACTCAACCCAAGAAACCACCCAAAAAGAAAGAACATCCCCAAGACGGCACGGCAGCACCCGACCTCCTCATCCCAGCCGAAAGCGGTCTAGCGCCCCAGCAATCCGGGGTAATCGTTGCCACGACCTTCCTTTCTGGGTAACTTGACCCAAGAATCCGCATCATGATAGATGACGAGGGTTGTCTTTTAGAGTGACGATCTTGCAAGCCCATCTCGGGGTTGTGGTACTACCGAGATCTAGATGGGGTGGTTTTGGGGCAAGTAGTTAACGGGGTTTGTCCGATGTCACACATTAAGGCTACTACTATTACTACTACCTAGACTGTACATATATAGTTGATGCATTGTGCCCATTTCTGACTAGAGAATTGATTCCCGAAGTGAACCAATCTAATAGAACTTTAATACATGCAACATCAAAGATAAGAAGAAAAGAAGAAGAAAAGAGAGAAGAAGAAAGATGCCAAAACTCAACCTCTTCGGCACTGGCTTCGTCCTCCAAGCGGCTATATGGGCTGCTTGTGGCATGGCCTTTATTCTCTTCGGTATATCCGCCCCCATCTTTATCCATAATTCAATCCCAACCCCGTTTCCTCTCCCTAACAGCTAAATCTAAAAAATCATAGGCTACGACCAAGGCGTCTTCTCCGGCATCGTCGAGAACGATGACTTCCTGGATACCATGAACCACCCCAACGACAGTCTGGAGGGGATCATAGTCTCCATCTACAATCTGGGGTGCTTCGCCGGTTGCATAGTTAACTTCCTATTGGGGGACTGGCTGGGTCGGCGGAGGGCGATGTGGTTTGCTATGGTTTGGGTCATCGTATGTTTTCCTTCTACTCTTCTTTTATGAGCTGAGGAGGATATGATTCGCTAATATAAGATATCTGTGGGCGTAGATCGGAGCAACTCTTCAATGCTCCGCGTTCTCAGTCCCCCATCTCATGGTCGGACGATTCGTGACGGGTATTGGGACGGGCGTGGAGACGTCGACGGTGCCGATGTATCAGGCGGAGTTGTGTGAGGCGAGTAAGCGCGGGAAGTTGGTGTGTAGTGAGCCGTTGTTGGTGGGGGTGGGGATTGTGATTAGGTTTGATTTCTTCGGCATTTGATACTTAGGTTGATGGCTAATTGTGGTGGTAGCTATTTCTTCGACTACGGGATGAGCTATGTTGGTGGTCAGATCGCCTGGAGATTGCCGATTGCGTGCCAGATGATTTTCGCTTTTGTAAGGATATTACTATTTATCCTGGGACACTTGGTGGATTGGCTGGCTAATGCAGATATCTAGGTGGTCATCGTCCTGGTGTTCGGATTGCCCGAGTCACCCAGGTACTGCTACAAGGAAGGTCGCAATGAAGAGGCGCTGCAGATCTTGAGTAATGTGTATGGGCGCCCAAAGGACGACCCGAAGATTCTGGCAGAGCAGGAGGAAATCCTCGAGGCTATTTCTGTGGAGACCAAATATGGAGAGTACAAGTGGAGGTGGGTACTCATCAATATGATCGCTATTTTGATGCATGCTGACGAGATCAGAAACGTCTTCAAGAGGGATGAAGTTTCCACGGGTCATAGAGTGTAAGTCTGACGTCTTATCTGTCGCGAATCATGTTCTAACGACCGCGCAGTCTTCTTGCATACGGCATGCAATTCATGAATCAGATGGGTGGTATCAACATGGTCGTGTATGTTGGGCATAAAACTTACCCCGGTGAAATGCAAGAGATTTGCTAAGAAACCCAGATACTACATCCCCACCGTGCTTAACACCAATGTCGGCCTGGACAAGAATCTCTCCAACCTTCTCGGCGGCTGCGTCCAGATCATGTTTGTCGTCGGAAGTATATTCCCCACCTTCTTTGTGGATCGCGTCGGTCGCAGAGCTCCCATGATCTGGGGATCATTCGGTTTGGGCATCTGCATGATGATGGTGTCCATCCTGCTCAGTTTCAAGGGTCACGCCAACGAGCATGCGACTTCGTCAGCTGCTGTCGCCTTCTTCTTCGTGTACATGCTCATCTTTGGCGCATCGGTTAACTGCATCCCCTGGTGCTACGTCCCCGAGATCTTACCCCTCCATGCGCGCGCCAAAGGGACGGCCGTCGGTATCTCATCGAACTGGATCTGGGTAGGTTTCTAGTAATCTCTCGCTCTTTCACTACTGACAAGCATGAAAGAACTTCTTTGTCGTGATGATCACGCCCATCATCATCAATCGCCTCCAGTGGAAAGCATACCTCATCTTCATGTGCTTGAACTTCGCCTTCGTTCCACTGATTTATTTCTGCTACCCCGAAACTGCCAAGTTGACGCTCGAGGAGATCGACTACTTGTTCACCACCCCAGGGAAGAATGCCGTGCAAATGTCCAAAGAGCTTGTGAAGCAGCGAAAGCAACACGGCCATGTACCAGGCCAGCGATTGACAAGACACACGGACGAGGCAGATTCAGAGAAATTGGAGAAAAAGCAGGACAGTGTTGTCGCCGGGGTTTCGGACGAGCAAGTCGAGCAGGTCTAGGGAAGCCAGGAGCCGAGGCAGGGAGGATGAGAAAGAAAAAAATTCGCGCGTTCGGTTGTATGATCAATGTACATGAATGTATGGCGTCTGCACATGTGGAAAGCTACAGGAAACCCATAGTGCTGTGCTGGCCACGGCGGTTTTCAAGGGGTACCAGTATGAGGCAATTTCTAGCAGGAACCACTTCATGCAGTGGTTGGAAATGAGAAATGGTTCGCAATGTAATGCGCCCGTGGTAGGTAGCCAGCGCGACCATCCAATGAAGTGGGTGGGATTTAGATCCCTCAAAGACCGGTGGAAAGGCTTGTGCGACGGAATCCAATGGCATCATTAAGCCACTGTGCACGACTAGTAATGATGACAGTATCACATTGCGCGCCAGAAAAGCTTCCCTCAGTCGGGAGGCAGTTCAATGGTTGTCGTTCAGACCAGCCGGTTCGGTCAGCGAGGACCCTGGGACTCAGTGCAGGTATCACCAGTCGGAGAATGCAGGTCGTTGAGCAAAACCCCGACCACCCTGGACTTGTGGCGGGCTGGCAAAGGTTTGAGCCCGCCCGACCCATGCAAGCGGCGGACTTACATATGCACATACCTGGGCCCCACGCCTTTGTGAAAACAAAAGTAAGCGCGGTTCTGGTGATATGTATGTACATACCCAGGGCGCCGTATGCAAGATGCATTGGCTCGAGAGTTTATCAATCTGAACACTATACATGAGGGATATCGGGGACCAAAGTCGGAGTGGATACGCGCGGTGAAGAAATTTGCTGGGCTATAATGCATCAATTTAACCTGCGTTATCGGGGTGGAAAAAATTGCGGTGAGCGCAATGCGAGTCCAACGATGGCAGCCTAACTGTGCAATGTCTGGAATGATGGCGCGGCAGGACAGATTGGTTTGACAAATCTGACTCCTGCTTGATGGATGGATAGAATCCGGGAATGGGACAAGCAAACAAAGAGGAGGGGAAAGGGGAAGAGAAGATGGGAATGAGCGGAGATTGATGGATAGAGAAACTGGTCGGTTGGTTGGTGGGGAGGTGGATGGAGAGAGTATCGAACAGAGTTCACTGGTAGAGTCCCGTAAATAGCATCCCTATCCAAAACGAGAGATAGATAGATAATACTATCTTCCTTAGATTAGCCATCGTTGTTTGACAGGAGCGGGTCTCTCCTTCCCCCGTATCTACTAAGTGTGACATGTCACATTCGATGAATATCACACTGCTTTGGGTGTCCATTTACGATTTTCGGGGGCGACTACCGGTCTAGCGTGACCGGCAGTTTGGCGCTAGACTCATACTCTTTGTCCGGGGCCACTTTGAAGCTCCGAAAGAAGGCAAAGGAGTGGGATGAACTGGCCCCGGGGTGGAATAATTAGTCTGACTGTGCCAGGTGCATGGCTGCTTCAAAACGAAAAAAACAGGGTCGACGGGGAGGACAAACAGCGGAGAATAACCTTGCCCAATCAGCCATTCCCATCCGCATAATTCGGATCGAGCTTCGGCCCATCAAGCGAGGTCAGGGGCTCCACAGCTTATATGTATCCAATTCCTGCCTGCGAATCACCGGCCGTAAGTCGGTCTGAGCTTCCTGGCCAAGACCTGAGTGATAGACTGATCAACGTCTGGCGATGGTTAATCCACCGAACTGTGATAGAGTTGTGCGTTTACCTGTCCCATCGTCGACCTGAAACCGGCCGCTTGTGTCGGGGTGTGTTCAAACCTCCGATGTAGATTTGAACAGAACGAACGCGAAAATCAGGCAAACAGAAAATAGAGCACATATAAAAATAGAATAAAATAATCTATACATAACACGCATGCAAATGAAAAACGACTCATAGAAGTAAAAGTAGAAGCGCAGTCAAAGTACCCATGGTAGCCCTTGCACGTTGCATTTGCAGCGCTGGTACATCTTATGAATAGACCACCCCAAGCATCGGTATAGATCTGTGCAGAAGACAGGGTTCGACATTGAGTGGTGTTATTGAGTGGTGGAAATGACTGATCCGGCCTGATTATTGGCGCATCGGCACTCCATCCCTCCCTTCAGTAGTACTACTTAGTAGTGCTTACTCCGATAGCAGAGGAGAGGGGGACAGGCAGACAGAAAGTAACAAACAACAAGACTTCATATGCAGGAGCCGAGATGCCACTACCAACTGGATGAGGTTTCCATTTCACAAGATGGGCTTACCAAAAATCGGCATGTAGAACAGCCTCAGACTCACATGGGAGGGTGGGCAATTCGTACAGCCGGACTCCAAGTGGACCAGAGTGTCACTGATCAGATCTCAGCTGGACAGCCTCCTTAGTAGGCTGTAGGGGTTCTGATCACGTCATTGGTTGAGCCGTGGTGAACGATGAAATTCCCTTGTTTTTATTTTTATTTACTTTTATTTTTGATTTTTATTTTATTTTTTCCTTAGAATGTTTAATTTTCTCACTCCTTCGCCAACAATCTGCGGCTGATTGAGAGTACGACACCATGCACAAAGACGAAACTCTTGCATGAGTAATTAGCAGACGCCCGTTTGGAGCCAGACTGACATAGCACATAAGGTCAGGATATGCATAGTAGAATACAATGTGGCTGTTGAGAACGCCGAAGGTTGTGCAGATCGAGGATTGCGTCCTGAAGCCCGCCATATGCGCGAGACGGGCTGCAGCCGGCGCTAACTCGGTAGCGTACTCGCATCGAGCATCAATTTAGATTGAGTGTGACCTATACATTGTTAGCATCATATGGTAATATTTTGAGCTGATCTTTGTGCTGAGAGCCCACTACGACTCCTCTAGCTTAAGGAGGATGGTGGGATTGCGATGGAGATTGATCCTCCCGCCCTCCCAACACCAGTCATAATCCATTTGCTCTTTTAGCCATAGGACATACAGCAAGGGCCCGGTTACCGAGACCCCGTCGTAGCTTGCATAAAACGGTCTGTTGTATGCATCTCAAATGCTGAGTGGTCCTTTCGGGGATTTGGTGGAATTTCTCTGTCACCTTTTCCCTGTCCACCCCCTCCCCCCCTGCTCTGCTGCTATAGTTCACGTCTCTCTTTCCTTTTTCCTTTATCGCTCACATCTCAGCCCTTGTGGCATGCAGCACTCACTTCCCACCCACCTAGACGATTTTCGGTATAGCCCAACACGTACCTATCACACAAAGGCAAGGAGAGCTGAAACCCTCCCTGGATGAGGTTCCCCTTAGCTGGGACCCCCAGATGCAAGTCATCAACGGGAAGATCCGAGTCATCCGAATAATTGCTGCGGCGGACATGACATGTTGCCTAACCAGGGTCCATGTATGATTGATCTTTGGATGCATTGAGTCCGGCCAGGTCGTGTCTCCAATCAATCGGTCCAGACTAAGGTGAAGATCTCCCGATGGGAACATAGGTCGCCTGCCCCAGGAGGCGTAATGGGGGGGAGGAGGGGGGGAGGGACACACAAACAAGTCCAGTTTGGCTATATATAGGTGGGATGCTCGGGACCGACGAGATTAAGTTCATGGAGTGGAAAAAAAGCGTGTCCCAGACAAGGTGAACTCTGTCGAAGAACTAGTCTATAATCCTTTGAATACCCTTCCGTCGATTTATTCTACTTCACATCACAATTGAGCCTCCAGCTGAGAGCTTCATACCCTTTATTTCTTCTTGTGTTGACGTTACTGTGAAGCCGTCACCATGCCTGTGAGTTGCGAACAGTGTATGATTAGCCTTTGCGACCGATGCTAATGACATACTACTACTAGATGCCTGGAATCAAGTGTCCCCAATGCCTTTCAGAGGGAACTGACGTTTGGGTCATCCCCGGCAAGAATTGCCACAAGTGCGGAACTGCAGTTGGTTGATTGGGCGGCCAGGTGAGATGGATTCGATAGATATACTTGGGCGCAATATACTAACACTAAACTGCAGTCACCTAGAAACCGCTTCAACTCTGTTCGGGAGCAGGACAATCCGACTCCTGAGGATGGGAAAAAAAGGACCGGAAACTCTTCACTTCCTTCCAGAAAATATTTGAATTACCTCCGGCTGTTATTCATATCGCGCGATTACCTGTTGTGTTCATGATGAAGCGAGGCAGACGGCAGATCGGCTGGGAGGAAAATGAGAAATGATAGGTACAATATCCCAAGCGTGGAGGTAGAGAGGCTCCCTGCCGTGGGATTGGGATTGGGATTGGGATTACGAAACGAGAGGAAAAAATTATCTTCCTGTATAATATTTACGATAGACTACTTAGACACGAAATAATTCTGACGCACTGAACGTTCATCAACAACAGACCAGAAACAATTGTTTTGAATCAAAGTTAACTCCAGCGGGTAATCTTGGCCTCGGTCCAGTTGCAGCTCTCCCCGCAGATCACCATCAATTCTCCAACTCATCTCCTCTCTCTCCCACTTACTCCCATAAAGTATCATCTATTTTACCAACTACACATAAATCAACCAAGATGCTCATAATAGGTCTCACTGGCTCCATCGCGACCGGTAAATCCACCGTCTCCTCCATCCTCTCCGCCGCGCCCTACTCCCTCCCCATCATCGACACCGACCTTATCGCCCGCAAAGTCGTCGAGCCCGGCACCCCAGGCTACAAAGCCATCGTGAACTACTTCGGCCCAACAACTCCAGATCTCCTCCTCCCAGCATCCAATCCCAATGGCACATCCGACAGCGACAGCAACCGCCCCCTCAACCGCCCAGCACTAGGACGTCGCGTCTTCGGCACCACTGAAGCCCGCAAGCGTGACCGCGCCATCCTCAACAAGATCGTACACCCGGCTGTACGGCGCGAGGTCTACAAAGCGCTGCTATACTACTATGTGCGCGGTCACTGGGCGGTGGTCCTGGATGTGCCGCTGCTGTTTGAGAGCGGGATGGATCTGCTATGTGGGACGGTGATGGTGGTGGGGGTTTCGGATCCGACGGTGCAAATGGAGAGGTTGAGGAAGAGGGATGCGCATCTTTCGGCGGAGGACGCGGAGAATCGAGTGAGAAGTCAGGGGGATGTCAAGGGGAAGGTGGAGAGGGCGGAGTATCGCGGTGTGAAGTCGGCGAGGGGCGTGGTGGTGTGGAATGATGGGGATAAGGGGGAGTTGGAGGGCGAGGTGCAGAGGGCTATGAGGCTGGTGAGGAAGAGTACGCCGCAGTGGTGGGCTTGGATGTTGTGGTTGGTGCCGCCGGTGGGTGTTGCGGTTGCGATGTGGAATTTGGGGGTCAATTTCTGGTTGAAGAGAGGGTGGGAGAAGAGGGAGAGGGAGGTGAAGGCGAAGCTGTAGGTATAGGTAGATATGCCTATGGCTGTAGGGGTTGATGATGTGAATTGGGGTGCAGGTGCAGGTGATGGATGTAAGCTGTATTGTTTGTCTTAATGATATTATCATGCTGGATTGATTAGTCGTCGTCTGGAACATCTGCTGGTGACTGCCTAGGGAGGTATAGCTGGTTCTCGGCGTTCAGTCCCACGCTCGCATCATGATCAATTTCACTGAGGCGGAATTCTCCTTCACCTCTACTCACTGCACGGCAGGGTTCCATTGACTGAACATCTGGTTTTGAGAGGTCGACTACAGAACTTTACAAGATAGTGCATAATATGCGAAGGTATGTATGAATGTGTTGCATTAAATCTCTGGATGAATTCTGACAAGTAATGACTAGATCAGGCACTATAGCCCGTATCTAGAATACGCTTAAAGAATGTGCTTCTGGCTCGATGAAATGGAATACTGGGTGGAAGTGGACGAGCGAGGTCCTATGCTATACCACAGGCGAGAGCAACGAGGAGATAGCTCATCGCTTCCTCCCAACGTCTACCAGCAAGGATATCGGCCATTCCACTCCGATAGACAGTATAATACCATCCTTCAGACCCGTCGTCAGAAGTACAACACTGGGAACAATCCACGGAAACGCGGTATGTAATGTAGGTACTAAAAGTGCTCGGGCTGATCGAAGCAGTTTACCTGGTTCCCAAGACTGAGCTATTGGAGCTGGGCAAGGAGGCCTGGCTCGAGCGCCGCAGAAAACACGAGCAGCTCCAAGAATCTTGCAGACAGCTCATGAAACGCCAAGAAAGAGATGAAGAGTATCGTCAAGCTCAATGTCAGCCAGGGGAGACTACCCAACAGCATAACATGTCCTTATACAATCACACAGACGACCAACCTGCTGTCCGTAGGTCAGCAACGCATTCTGCCAGATACCTGTACGGTCCTACTGCCGACAGAGTCGAACCAAGAACGAATGCAGTCATCGACTATGATAGATCAAAAGACAAGTATCCTGGCAGAAGTCAATGGTATGGCACAGCGCCTAAGAGTGGTACCGATGCCCACCCGTCTTCATATTCACCCGTGATGGGCTACCACGACCGAAGATATGAGGCCTACCAGACTCATAATTATGCTCAAGCGAGGGATAACGGGGCTTATTGGTAAGGCAATGTCGAATCTCATCTTCTGGCGAGCAAGACCCGGAACAATACTTGTCTCCAGATATGTCGGTTGTCCAAGTGTACTTTATTTATGTTTGCGCTTCTTCTGTTTTTTATCGTCGCCCATCGTCGCATGTCTTCCACCGGAGATGCTTGTAAGTTGCGACAATTTGACGCGATGTGGCTTGTTGCTTTCTTTCTTTATCATTGCATCAACATCGTCATCGTCGGACTCAGCTTCCGTTTCGCCAGTCTGAGAAATGTCAGAAAAATGGTTAAAGTGTATCATGTGAGAATACGAACCGCAGTCTTCTTCTTTCGTTTGAAGTTTCCGTATGCTTGTCGGCCACCGACCGCTATGTCATCGTCGTCCGCATCCAGCGAGCCATCCGCGACAATGAACGGCGGCGGCGCATACTGAGCAACTGGCTCCGCCACACCATAGTCGAGCACCCATTCTGTGTCACCCGAGTCTTGAGCCTGACGTGCAAGGGCTTCTTTCCGTTTCTCCTCCTCCTCAGCAAGGGCAGCCGAAATCGCCTCGAGATCCGACTTGGGGGTGCCGACGGGGCTTTCGGCTGGGCCGGTAGACAGTCTCTGTCGTTTCGGGGGAGTGGAAACCTTGGAGTCGTCGGTGGATGCGGGCTGAGATGTTTCACGGGCAGCATTTGTGGCAGCAGCGCGTTGCATAAACTACGACATTAGTTTATTATTCTTGAAACGGAAAAAGAAAATTAAATTGTGATGTTGCTAGACATACCTTCATGGTCAGCAGCCGCGAAGACATGGTCTTCTCTGGCTTGGAGCCAGAGCTAGGAGAGCCCCGCATGATGGATGCGTAGAAGAGACAAATGTAAAACAAAAAAACCGTCAAAAACAAGCAAAAGTCGAGGTCATACAGAAATGAAGAACGATAGCCAGCAGAATCGCCGTGATTGCAAAGCCGAAATTCCCAGGCGGCAGAATCCCACCGCATCAGCCGAAGGAGCGCCGCCGATTGGCCGGCCGCTCAAGCGTAGCAGCTCCCGCAAACTGGAAACCTCATCCAATCTCTCTCCAACCCGAGTCCTCTCGTCCTCACCTCCGCTCCATCCGCCAGCTACTCTCGCGTCCCCTTCCGGACCTCAATTGCCCAGCATGTTGCCCTGCTTCCGCAGCCGGGTCGCGACCCTCTCTTCCACCTTCACCCCCCGATTCGCCGCCCGGGCCAGCTACTCGACCACCGTCCCTCGCCTCTCCGAGAACTTCATCCCTGCCAACGACCCGACCCCGCCTACCGCTAAGCCGAATGTCTCTGGCACCAATGCTACTCCCGTTGACGCCATGGGCGGCTGGGATGCTCCCCTGAGGGAGGAACCCGAGGCGGGCGAGCGCCTCCGTCACCTCCAGGCTCCCAACCGGGCTACTACCTGGGCTGCCAGCCAGCAGCCCAAGGAGAAGGCCATGGTTGGTCCTCGCTTCGAGCAGACGATAATGGAGATGCAGGTGCGTTGCCAATAACCTCCCCGTTCAGTTCCGGGTCAATTGGTTGTGTGGAACCGGCAATACCTTGATCACGGCAACATCGATACATAAGACACGATCTTTTACGCTGACATCTCCTAGCCCCAACCCTTGGCTGCCATTGAGCTCATCCACAGACAGCCCGTCCGCTGGACGAAAAAGCGCGTCGTCAGCTGTGACGGCGGTGGCGGTCCCCTGGGCCACCCCAAGGTCTTCATCAACACCGACAAGCCCGAGATTGCTACCTGCGGCTACTGCGGTCTTCCCTTCGTATGTTTGCCATGGCACTGTTGTGCATGATACCTGCTAAGAATGTATAGGCCCACGAGCAACACCGTGCCTACCTCAAGTCCCTCCCCGCCACCAGCTACCCTCTCGAGCCTACCGGTGACGCCGCCGAGGTGAACGAGAGCCAGCGCGTGACCGAGGGCGGATTCGAGCAGCGGTAAAGATTGATTTTATAGGCGTTGACGATGTTTTGTTTTTATCCTTTAGCCATACGGCTGTTGTACAGATGTACCAGGTCAATGAAGTCGTTAGATCGAATGTTTCATATTCTAGGATATACTGTGCTATATCCACACGTACGCCATCCTCTACACCACTCAGACACATATACTCTACACAATCGCCTCACAATCACAACCGCACTCCCTCACCACCACCACCACCGCCACAATCATTAAGTCAAGCCTTCTCACCTTGAATCGTAGCAACTACCTTCCGGGAGTGTCTCATGGCCCTGAACTCCAAGTACCAAATACCCTGCCACGTACCCGTAGCCAAGCGTCCATTGGAGATGGGAATCGTAACCGAAGCGCCAATCAACGCTGACTTGATATGAGCCTGCCAACACCATCAGTATCCCCCTCCCAGCTTATAGTTGGAAAAATAAATGAGAGTCAGGTTAACGCACCGGCATGTCATCCTCCCCCTCAGCCGAATGCCTATACAGATTCCCCTTCTTATCATAAGGAGCGATACGATCCAGCGCATCACTCATATCAGCGCGCACATCGTCATCCCAGTTCTCGTTCAAGGAGAGCGCGCAGCTGGTGTGCTGCACGAAGAGGTTCAGCATGCCGACCTTGTAGTTTTTGATCTCGGGGAGTTGCTCGAGGACGTGGTCGGTGATGAGGTAGCTGCCGCGCGAGCGGGCAGGCAGAGTGAAGGTTTTTTGGTACCAGGACATTGTGTTGGGACTGGTTTGCTGGGTTTGGGGGCTGCTTGTTAGCTTTCTCTGTTTGTGTGATTTTGAGGTCTGGTGTGGTTGCGGGGTTGGTGGTGGGTGGGGGGTTATTTGGGTGTTCGGTGAGAGGGAGAGTAGTGGATGGGGGAGGGTTGGTCTAAGTGGTGGGTATCATATTGGAAACGACTTACAGTTATTTTGTGGGAAGAGGAAGGAATTGTTGATGAAGTTGTTGTGATGTTGTTGAAGTGAGGGATTGAATTTCTGGTGGGGAACCGCATCGACGTCATTTTCAGGTTCCCCGATGCGATGTTGATTATTTATCGCTGCAACACTACAGGCTCATTATAGCACATCCATCTATTTCATCGATTGGCTTGTCTACGCTATATGTCTACCATTTAGATTGTATACCATATCTTTACGGCGCAGAGCATACACTCTCCTGCACGTATGGCGGGTTACTCGTCGCTGATCCCCAATCCGTACTGTTGAAGGCTTTTCCAGCCGCGGTCGAGTTATCCGATCGGATCTCGCTGGGCGTTAGCTACTATACATCACAAAGGGGGATGCTCATACGTACATAGTACTTCGGCTCGACAAAGTGCCACCAGTCGTTGCTGCGAAACGCATTATCGAGTGACTGGCTGAGAGGATCGAGCCAGGTGGTATCTATGGTATCGAAATGTGCATGCTTCGACCACGACACGTACACCTTCGGATGGTCATTGTTCTTGACTCCATCGGGCTTTCGAGCATCTCCGGCGTTGATTTGCTCTGTGGTCAGAGTGCTATGAATGCTGCCCCAGGCGAGATTATGGTAGCCACTGTGGGCTGAAAGGAGCGCACGAGAGGGCTGCCAGGTGTTGTTCGCATTTCTTGAATGGATGATGATGACTCGTTCCCAGTCACTGGTCGAGCGCGTCAGTCAGTCAGTTTAAAGATGTTGATTTGGTTTACGCGGTGATCTTACTAGTCATGGCCCGTGTCAATCAGGTCCAGCACTTCGGCTCCGTCCTTCTCATAGAACAGGTTGTACACCACCCGAACTTCGGTCTCATTGCACTGCTTAAACGTGTAGTAGATGGGGAATGCGGGTCCGGGGTTCCCTGTCGCTATTCCAGGTTTGCGACACCCACAGCCCACGTCTGGATACTCGCACTGCGGTGCGGCGGGTGTTTTGTGAGCCGCGTCGTATATGTCCGACGAGTTGGGTGAGCCTCCGAAAGCCCAGGTCGGATAACAAGGAGGCTGGTCCACTGCCTGGCCAAAGAACCAGAGAGGCGCATACCGGGTAGCGAGCTCTACAGCGCCTTGGCTGAGGAAGTTGGTCATTTCATCGTTGGATATCGGTGTGACGGCTGCCGCCGGTGCGGCAAGAAGAGCCACCACGATGTATTTGCTTTTTAACCACATTGCGCACTTCTTTTCCGGCAAACAGGCTTACTGTGGAGATCATCTATAAAGGCACCGCGGCATATTATATTCTATTGTCGCGATGCCACCTGCCACGGCTGGCTGGCTGACCCCGCCCTGTACTCCAGGTCTCGCGGATGAACCTGGTGCCTACTTGACAACCCGGAGTGACCGATGAAAATGGCATCGTGCAGTTGTCAGGGATATGCACTGGATTAACTTAGAATTTGTCAGCTGCTGGCCAGTCCGAAGGCATAGCTGCACCTCGTGGCCACTGCAGCTGGATGGTTGCCAGTTTCCCCGGCTCTCACATGCTCAGTGATGACTGCTTGGTGTTCTCTAGCCCTGTCGATCACCCTGGTTTAGAGCCGGACGGGGACTTAGGAACACATTCTTAATATAGTCGATTTTATTGGCCTGATGATAGTATCATCTGCTCGGTGACTTATGGTAAGGCTGAACCTAAATCATTGCTCGTACTTCGTGACAGCTAAAAATACAAAACCGCGTGGATATCTACATCCGGCTCCGGAAACTACGATGTATTCCATCCAGTCATTCCTTCTTCCGGCCTTCATCATCCAAGAGATCGCTTTGCTCATCAATTCCCGACCACTTGGGCTTCCCATCCGGAATATCCAAAACTCGCTTGCCGTAGAAAATATGGCAACTACACGACTTCATAAGCATCATGCAATCTCTGTCGGCACTTTACGGGCCACTTACTCTATTTCAAAAGCTTCGCGCCAGTGCTGCCGATGTTCATCATGATCAGCACTCTCAATGGCCTGCGGAAACATCAAGCAGACATTCCGTCCCTCATCCATGATAGGAGTCCGACAGAAGGAACAATACACCTTAGTGGGAAGCTTATACTCCTGGGTACCATTCGTGGAGGAATAGAACGACAAGCCTTCAGCCCCCTTCGTAAAAGCGAGATCAGATTTTTGAAAGATGGCCGCCCATTGGAACGGCGCGCCTACACAGTCAGCATGTTTCAACCCCTGGTAGACTACCTCGTAAGTAACCAACACGGCACGGCAGACATACCATGCGTCACTTGACAGCCCCGACAGTGGCAGAATTTAGCCTTCAATGGTCGGTCCCGGCTTAATTGATAAGTCACCTGGCCGCACTGGCATTTCCCACGCCATTTGACAGGCCCGAATTCCTCAGGGGAGCGAATGCTGTAGGGAGGACGCTTTTTCCAGTCGTCTTCGTCGGATTTGGAATGGTTGTTCTGAGATGGATAGGTAGCGCCCACATCGGGGAAAGGATCGCCTCCGTATTGAGACTTGTTTGCCATTTTAGCTGCCGTGGGCTGGAAATGAATGAAGCTAATGCGGTTGACGAGGGAGGGTGGCGTTCGGCGTGGCAGGGGTCTGGTGTGGCAGAGGAAGAGTCTAAGTCGCATAGCCAGGGGAAACTATACACAGTAGAGATGGTCTAACCTGGCAGTGTACCAGGTGAATCGGCTTGGTTGCTGCATGATGTCTATTTATTCTCCTGAGGGCTGGTTGTTGGACATGATGTCATGGCGATGTAGTTGACGGGCCCTGTTTCGTGGGTGGCCAGAAGACGGCGATGGATCAGACTGTTCTGGATAAGCTTAATTTGAATTATGATGCACTTCTCCGTTAACATTGTGTGGCAGTGGTACTATAATTTGTGATCGTCTATAGAGTATAGACAGTTGATGAAGGAGGATTGCTGAAGACCCCATCGGGTTAGTGGCAACTCTTTGGGGTCACGCGTCGAGGACCGCGCGAGAATCTCCCTTCCAATATGAGTTTTGAGTCTTAAGTCTAAGTCTGAGGCTACATTGAATTGAAAGACACTTCAACCTTTTCCAACCATTATGTGGTTCACTTCAGCCCTGCTGCAGCCACTGGCGTCGGTAGTTGAACGGGGTTCAATTTCCGCCGAGACCCTCTGGGGCAATCTGCCAACCACCAGGCAGTCCCTGAGGCAAACATGAAACACCCGCCTGCCCCCCCTATCTGAACCAACTGGGGGACATGTCTCCCCTCATCTCGCTTGCTGGTGTGATGAGACCTGCGCCAATTGCCAATCAAGCGTTTCAAAACGGTGCTCGGCCTCGGCTTTGACCAGCGACGCGCTGGAATGGGGAACGAACTGCGGGTTCATGCAGCGACTTCACATCACACAGCTTTCCCGACACCAATCACCACCGCGCTGTTGATTATTCACTCGCCTTTGCATCCTTCCCACGCTGCCTTCTCCTGGCCCCTAACGGTCTCTTTGTTCCACCGCTTTATCCTCCTTTAAGTTCGCTCCTCGTTCCCTCCAGTCCGTTGCAACCGTCCATGCCGCTTGTCTGCTCACCACCATGGGTTTACTGAGCCGGCTTCGCAGGCGGTCCAAGAGCCATAGCCGCGCGGGGAATGTGGCCACCTCCTACGACCACCTCTGCGTTGACTCCCACCACACCTCCGGCCTCGACATCACGAAGAGGCTTCCCCGACCGCTACTGGCGCGCATCTTCACCTATGTATGTCCGCACACCATCGATTCGAGCTATGACACCTCCGAGGAATCGATGACAGAGGATGGCTGCATGCTCTGTGATATGCGCGACCTGGCACATTGTGCTGTGGTCTGTAAACGGTGGTACTTAGAGGCTCGGGCTTTGCTGTGAGTTTCTTTTGTTCATAATTCCTCTTTCCCTGCTGATCGATGACCCTAGATACGCTCACGTCCGCATCGACGCCGTCCACTACTGCGAGCTCGAGGTCCAACTTGCCGCCAAACGAAAACGCCATTCCTTCTTCGACCGCAACGGCGAAGCTATCGATGCCCCACAAGTACGATTGCAGTTGTTCATGCAGACTGTCCGAGATTCGCGAGACCTGGGGCGCATGGTGCTCTCCCTACGGATGCCATACATGACACGCGAGGCCAGCAAGGCGGAGATTGCGCGCACCATCTCCGTGACGCCCAACATCCGCTACGTTGACCTGCCGGCGGGAATATACAGCGACGACGCGTCGTGTCTGGCCTTGAAGCAGGAGCTTATCGGACGGTGTCCGGATTTGCGTCGCATGACCTACCGACACGGCGCGGAGGGTAGCTTCTCGCAGCTGCCAGAAGCCCGTCTTTGGCAGAATCTGGAGGTGCTGGAACTCTCTCGATTGCACATTGAGCCGCGGCTTCTTCGCATGGGGCTGGCCTCGTTTCCCAAGCTTCGCGATCTGACCCTCGACGACCTGCCGTGGCTGGACGACTCGGCATTTGACCTCTCCGACACCCTGCCTCCTTTCCCAGCCGTCCAGCGGCTGACCCTTCGCGATACCCCGAACGTCACAGCAAGCGGGCTTGCCGGCGTTCTCTCCCTGCCTTTGAACCGTAAGGTGCTACAGTATTTGACGCTGTCTGCGACAGGAGTGCTCTCATCCACTCTGCACCAGATCCTATCCGCTGCGCCGCAGCTACACGCCCTGTCAGTCATTCAGGACGTGACGCGGTCCTTCCCGGCCGACCGGGTGCCGCCGCTGTCCTCCCGGTCGCTGCAACTCCTACACTTCGAAATCACCTCGCCGGCGGGGTCGTACGGTCTGCCGCCAGTAGCAGCGTCCTACTACACGTACCTGATCTCTTCGCTCATGTCGAACTGCCTGCCAGGACTGCGTGACCTGTACGTCCGCGACGCCAGCTTCCCAGAGACACTGCTGCTGGCACCACCACCGCGACTATTCGGCGGTGGCGAGAGCGGACCGCAGTTCTTCAGCGGAGGAATCTCACAGCCGCTGAACGTGTACAGCAAGGGGTTAGACGAGCTAGAATGGAACTTTACGCCGTACGAGCCGCCTTCAACACGAGGACGGCGCGATAGCACAACACGACCGGTGAGCTTCCACGACGCGCAGCTCAGCCGGTCGTGGGGCGGAGACGCACGCAAGAGCGTGCTAGTGGGCAATGGGTTTGGGGGGTTCCTGGCAGTGCCAGTGGACGACGGACGACCGAAGAGCAGCGGGGGATGGCGACGAGAGAGCCGACAAGATTTGTGGAGGTAGCAGCATAGCGATTGGAGCAATATAATGATAATGACATCCATCCCTTCATTTCCGAGGCTAGTAACTACGACCATCCCAACCTCAATACTAGAAAGAAAAAAAATCTTTTTCCTAACATTCCCCTCCCACCACCAAAACCGCGACATCATGCGCCTGCAACTTCACCTCATACTTATCCTTGACACACCCCAGATCCTTGCCAGTCCACGCATCCGTCACCTTAAACCCCTTCTTCTCCTTCGAATTCTTCTTAGCACCTCTGTCCTTCAACTCAGGCACCTCCTCCCAAACCGCCGAGCGAGTCTTGACCCCCCCCTCCGAATTCAACATCAACACAAACACCTCCCCAGAAGAAGTCGGTCCAGACCAATACTCCGCCGGATGCTCCGGATCAAACGTCCAATCGGGATTATATCCCCATTTATACGGGTACGCAGGACGACCGATCACAGCGTCTTGGTGGAAGGTGAGCAGGGGTTTGTTGGAGAGGATAGTGAGGTGGGAGGTATCGATTGAATCCAACTACATCCCCCATTGATATTAGCACGTCGTCATTGCAGGAAAGGGGGGATAGATATAAGGTGGAGTAGGGGTAGGGAAGAGGGCATACAGGCGTCCCAATAATCAACGGCGCCTTCATCATCGCCCAAAGGGCAAAATGCGCTCTATTCTCCGGAAGTGTCAGATTCCCATTGCCCACTTCCAGCATGTCCGGGTCCGGATAGCCCCAGAAGTTGGCGTAGTTCATGAGGAAGCTGTTTTCGTTGGCGATTTCGGCGATGCGGGACCAGGTTGCTGTATTGATGTACTTTTTATTAGTATCATCCTCAAGATACTTTTATCATGGAATCTTTGAAGTTGAAGGGACATAGGGAGCATACCCGTGATATCGCCTGACATGCGCCAACTATTTCCCGTTGCATTTCCCCAGGCATTAACATCCGCCTGGCCCCAGTCACATAGCGAGTACAGGATCGTCCTATTCACACTGAGCAGGGCATCGCGCATGCGCTGGTACCGTTTCGCCGTGGTGGAGGTGGCCCAGTCGTACCCCTGGGGTGCGGCGTCCGTGAGGTTCACGCAGGTGCCGTTGGGGAAGTTGGAGCCGTCGGTGCTGTCGGGGACGCAGTAGGTGTATTGGTCTGTGAGGTTGGTGGGGACGCCGCAGTTGTCGTATTTTAGGTCTATACTTTCGTTAGCACGCTTGGGTTAGAGGGTATTGGGGACTTGTGGGAGGCATACAGTCAATCCCCCATTCGGCAAAGGATTGCGCGTCGATTTCCTCATAGCCTAGACTGGCGGGGTAGCCGGCGCAGGTGGTGAGGCCGGCGCCTTCATATTACTTTGGTTAGTGGGCTGATTGCTTAGGGGTTGGGGGTGTGGTAAGTACTGACTGCTGTAGATTCCCAGCTTCAATCCCAAAGCGTGCACTTGGTCTGCGACGCCGGAGATGCCACTGGGGAATTTATCTGGGTCGGGGATGATGCGTTTGGTGGAGGTGTTGCGGCCGGATTTGACGGACCAGCAGTCGTCGACTATTCTAATTAGCAATGTGGTTCGATTGTTGTGAAAGAGAGAAGGCATACTGTTGATATACTCATAACCCAGGTCCTTCAACCCCAGATTGACCACCTCGTTGGCGGCAGTCACGATCTTGTCGGCATCAATGTCGCAGCTGTATGCGTTCCATGAGTTCCAGCCAAGGGCAGGAGTACGACCCTACAATTAATGACCTTGTTAGTTGAGTGCTAGACATGGTAGGAATGCAAGCAACATACCACGCCATCAGGCCGAACCAGGGCTGCGGCTGGCACTAACAGTGCGGACGAGGTGAGAAGCCACCGCATCTTTTCTCAATTGCTTCCAATGGATATTTAGACAGATGGGCAGTGACGGTGAACGAAAAGAGTGAGCAGAACATGACCTATATAGCTGAGCTGCTCGTGCGGGGAACCAGCAATAATACATCTGCAGGTCCGGGTAAGATCTGCAGGCGAGGCCAATAGTGCCGGGACTTGGGTCTGTCCGAACTAGGCTATTAGGAAGAAATGCAGACATGGCAGGATATTGATGTGGCACTGTCAATTGCACGTTAGCGGACTTGATGTTCCGTGTTGCATTGGGAATAGCGTTGCTGCAGGTTGATGCAAGTTATATTGGCTGTAGCGATGATGTTTGACTGAACTTACGTGGAACTGCGGGGTTGAGAGACAATTACCACAATCATTTGGTAACTAGATGGATAATAGTAGGCGTACTTTGTCGTTATTTAGTCGAGAGAAACTACTATCATATACTGTCTCTTGATATGTTTTTGGAAGTATACTGCGATTGAGGTTGAACCATCTTCGGGTCATTGCCACGCATATTAAGCGACTTTCCCCCGAAAGCTTCATAATGCTTGATCGTACGATGACGCACTGAAACAGGCAAAGATGGACATGGCAGCTACTCAAGTACATACATTAACCGGTGACTTATTCGGGCTAGCCACTATCACCAATATAGCCTGCAGAAAGTAAGCCTGCTCTAGAACTGACATCGCAGCCATACAATCTACCACATGTCTCCAAACCCAACCATCATACCTCATACTCTCCCCCAAACAAACCCCTCAAATACCACTCAAAAGTCCTCCCCTCCATCTCAAACTCCCCATTATGCACCTCCCCCGGTGGTCTCCAAAACCTCCCAGCCCCTTGCATCCCCTTGACCAGAATCCAAAAATCATCCGGAAACGCTCCTTTCCCTCTCACTTCCGCCGGCACCTTCTCCTTATCCTTCCATACATCATCCATAAGACTCATTGGATATACTGTCTTTTTCACTTCCTTTCTAGAATATTTCTCCAATAACCTCGCAATCTCATTATACGAGATACGATCACTCACAAAGTTCAGCGTGCGGTTCTCCGATCGCTCCGGATGCTTTATCGTCTCGACGATAAAATCCCCTAGATCATCGATGTGCGTAAAGTCAATAGTAGCATCCGCATCCCCGAGGATATGCAGCGTGTATTCAGATGCCTTGGGATTTGTCCATGGACACCAGGTTTCTTCGCGGGATTGGTTGTAAAAGTCGCCGCAGCCAATGAGGGTGTATGTCATAGAGCCTGATTTTATGGCGGGGTGGTGTAGACAGGCTTCGTTGGCGGCGGATTTGGTGGTCCACATCTGCAATTACATTATTAGTATCTGGTGCATATATTGATACATCTAGTGTGGAAATACCGGATGAAGATACCCAACTTCATCTCCCGGCGGCCGATAGACATGATGCATGCCATATTCACTAGGATAGAATCTCTTTACCCCTG